ATTATAAAGTAATAATACTAATAAGAATCTAGATATTTTAAAATATAGAACTTTTATATATAAATTTTTAATAAGAAAATATAAGAGAGCTAGCGAGCTAACTTAGTCGTTTTAATTAAAGAGTATAATAATCTAAAATTTATAATTAACTATATATATAAATTTAAGATTTTTTAAATTAGCTTTATCTTATTTTATTATATATATTAATAAAGAGTATAATTAACTTAATTAAGTAGCGAAATATCTTTAAATATAAAGATAAAATCTATAGAGCTTAATTATTACGTTAAATTTAAAATTAAATAATTCTAGTTTTAAAATAGATAAAAGATTCGACATTATGAATATAGGGTTAGAAGATTTAAGATAGTCTTATAGCTCCGTAGTATATCGTACGAAAGTCGGTTCTTGTTAATGTAGAGAGATATCTAGTGAATCCGATCTTTATTTTGTGTGTTTAGACAAGGTAGACACAACAAATCTCCATGTGCTCACTCCCATATCTAGCTTCACCCATCTTTCCTTCCAACACAGACAACCAACTCCCAGTCCACATACCACCCTTTCTTCGCATTCTCCGCTGCTTCTGCCAAGCGCTCTCTGTACCATTTCTTATCCTCCTGGTTCTTTATCAAGTCGCCGATAGCTGCCCACCCAATCAAGCAATCCTCGTTCCATGGCTTGCGGTAAACCGGGAGCGGAGCCTGTGTCACGTAATCGAGGACCTCTAGGCCGCATTGTTCGAACTGGGCCGGCAAAGAATTGATCCATCTGTTAGGATGTAGAGGGTCAGTTTGAATAATTAAGATATTACTATTCGAATGCCTAGACCTTCGACGCAGGCACAAACCCGGAGCTTGAAGAAGAAAGAGCAGTGACTGACCTGACTTTCGGGAATAACGACCTATGGTAGCATGTGATCTGCGTATGTGGATCATCGCTCTTCTCCGCCTTCTCTGGAAACTTGGACATCCAGTCCCTTTCAACCCACTGCAAACAACCACCCGGCTCTGATCAAAGTCAGCTTCAGATCTCCTGGCTGAATGCTTGATCCTTCCCTTAGCTCTAGGATCACAGCTATTCTACGAAGACCACATCGCTCGGGACTGTGTTAGACTCACTAAGCATTCCCTTCAAGTTATTCACTACAGCTTGCACGTTATCATCACTAGCTATCGTCATAAAAAATCTCAGATGTACCACGTCGTATTTCCCCTCAAGTTCCTTCGGCAGCGGCTTAAAGATGTCGAGTTTAGATAGCGACACGTTCGGCCCATACCATTCCTGGGGCGGGTATTGCTCGTCTGAAATATCATATCCATCGATGTGAGCTTGTGGCAGCTCGCGGGTGAGCTCCCCGATCCAAATGCTAGCGGGCGGCATTTAGTAAGTGGAGCGAGAACAAACTGTGAGCACATAGCCGCAAGAGAATCTACATACCCTGTGCCGGTGCCAACATCCGCAATGCGCAGTTGTTCTTGGTTCTTTATGGCGCTTGGTAGCTTGATCGATGGGTGGAGCAAGAAGCCGAATTGGGCATGGATGAGGAGGTGGAGCATTGCAAGTCTGTAGAGCGATTAGTGATTCAGAGTGGCATTGTTTCTGTGTAGGTACCTTGCGGAGGCGTAGTAGTTGCGCCCCAGCATATACGGATCTTCACTTGAGGTATTGGAGTTAGACATTGTGCAGTTGAGTGGAACGAAGCCTGTTTGGCTGTCGGAGTGAATGTGATATCAGGATTTCAAAGGTAGTCGGGCTCATGAGAAGTGAATACGACATAGGTACCTAGCATAAGGGACCGGAACTCAAGCCCGGGTGCAGGGATGTGCACGACATCATCATGCAGAAATCCTCGCTCCTCTGAAAACCCTACATGCAAGATGTCATCATCCTCGGGATGGAGTTCTCTCAATTCATTCCCACGGATGTGCTTGACTGACCAGATTCCGAATGAAAACAAAACAACGCAAAAAGCTTGTCTTCTATATTCGGAACGCCTATTATATAACTCTAGGCTCTTCTATACTCCCCGCACTCGTCATGACTCTCAGCCCTCCCTCGTTAGACGACAAGCTCTGAAAGGACCATCTCCTTATCTCCGCCCCTTTCCACATCAACAAGGCAACCCCCCCGTACGCAAAAATCGAAAGAATCGCAGCCATCCCAAGACACCAGCCCGTTCCAACTTTACTTATCCACGCAGGCACGAAAAAAGGAAGCGTCAAACTAAACGCCAGCCTATACACCCCCATGATAGCAGCGGACTCTGACGCATGTCCTTTGAAGCATTCAATGATATAATTGACTGTGACGGGTATTATGGCGTTCGTCGCAAATCCACCCAAGAAGTTGGCGAGCGCAAGAACCATGTAGTGCAGGTGATATTGCAAGGAGGCGCCATACAGGCCAAGAGCGATGGGTAGGACAACAAGACCCGGTAGCCAGAGTGTGTGGAGTCTGTATTCGGGCTGCCAGATGCCGCCCTTACGGTGGCAGATCCAGAGAGGGATGCGGTCGTTCGCGAAATGCCCATAGAGTTGGGCTATGATGACGCCGAACCAGAGGCAGAAGATGACTTTTTAAATATCAGTGAATATTCACGATTGGAGAATCGATGAGATGGGACTTGCACTCTGCATTCTGCACGGGTGTGAAAGCGTAGCCGCCCATTACGACGGAGTCTTGTAGGAAGACTGTTAAGATGATGTTGAAGAATGCGGCGAAGCCAAAGTCGACGAGGGTCAAGGCGCCGCAGAGAATGGTGACGGGGCAGATGCCAATAAGGAAAGAGTTGCAGAAGATCTGGAACTGAATGGGCCTGTTAGTCCCTTGATCATCCGAATTTGAAAGATAGATTAGTGTTCCCTGGTGCTTTGCGGCAGGACCTTCTCCGAAACATGGATACGAGTATGTTTGAAGGACTGACTTACAGTTTCGGCCATCGATATGGATGGAATCATGCGAGGTCCACAGAAGAATGTCGCTACCCTGTTCGCAAAGAAATTTTCTGGCCATCTGCCACGGTATTCCCCGCCCTCCGGTGTGCGATCATAATATGTGTCCTCCAGCAGTGCGAGAGTGAGGATGATAATGATGCCTTCAAGACCATTACTCCACCAGAACTGTACGGTCCAGCTTGTAGAGCCAACAATAAACCCACTCAGGGTTGGACCCACGACGACACCGGCAAGAAAGGAGAGATTCAGCACAGTGAAGGCCTTTCCCCGCTGGTGTAGGAAGAAGATATCCACGATAGTGTCAGCACCAAGCGTTGGGGCGGTTCCACCAAAGAGACCTCCGAAGAGCCGCGCTGCGACGAAGGCTCCGTATTGATTCGAGCCGGTCATAGTGGCGGACCATATTCCCGTGACTAAAAGGCCGACCAGGGACCAAAAGAAGATGAATGTTCGTCCATAACGGCGCGCAAGGGGTACCGCGAAGAGGGGTCCGATGGCTATGCCTGCAGTGGCCGCGACTACCTAATCCGTATCAGCATGAACAATGCTACGAGCTTAGGACGGATGTCTTCCTACGGAATATGAAAGAACAATTGGATCTCGCTTGTTGTAGACTTTGGCTTGAACGAAGTACCCAAGAGCATTTCCTAGGCCGGAAGCTGTAGTGACGAAGGATCCGAAACACCAGATGAAAAGTGTAGTAGCCTTTTTCAATGAAGACCAATTCTGCGAAGAATGGGTGATCAGTAGGCTTGTATAGCAGGCGGCGTTTGAGTGAGAGGTTTTACGACATACTAGAGGATCTTTGAGATCATCCGAGGGTTGTGGTATCAGAGTAAAACCCGCCGACGACAGCTTTGCTGGCACTCGGGCCGAGTCGTCGCTCTCATCCTTTTGCCCAGGCTTTCTGTACGAGTCTGTGAGCTCCATGGGTACGATAGCCCACTACGCGATTCTTCATGAACTCGAAGAGTGGAAATAATTGACTTTTCAATGCAGCAGGTCTGATCTTTGATAGGTCGTGGCGGTATGAAGCAAGTGATGTTGAGGTGAAGATTGAGAGAATTAGTCGTCCAGTACAAACTCCAATTACACAGAGCAAGAGCATTTTGCCGCACAGCTATGACCCTCCGACTTGGAGAGTGGAAGGTGGAAGCGGTGAATCCTAGGTCTGCTCCGGCCCCCTGGCGCTGAAGGTCTTTGGCCCGCGTCTAGGGTGGACGTTGAATACATTCTTCTGCATCAGTGATGGGTGCGGATGATCCCATGGCCGATGAGTTTTCGTAAAGGATACCGAGACGGCTTAAACATGGAGCTCTGCATTCTCTGACAAATCATTCGAGTTTGACAGTGCTGCACTGCGCTCAGAAGAATCTATCAAATCGGGTCGGTTGCGTGATTGGCCTGGGGAAGACGGAAAAGGTTTATCACTAAGGTATTAGCGTGTGCAGAAAACGTTGGAATACTTGGCACTGAGATTATCACACACACACCACCAAAAGTAGTACTGAATAGATGAATCTTCTCCCATATCGCATTCTACCACCTTCCTCATCATATTTAAAGCTCCTATATATCTCGCTTAGTCGATCCTTAGTATTTTACCTTAGTATTTCGAAATACCTCTCAACCGACGCAGTTAGGAGTCTCTCCCTTACTATCGATAATATAAATATATAGATAATTAAGTATCTAAAAGTAATAAAGAATCTTATATTTACTATATATCGTGTTACTATATAATTAGAGGTTTCTAATACTTTAGCCAGAGACTTTAAAGTAGACTTAAAGATATTTAAGTCTTAATAGCGATAGATGAAGACTTTAATAACTCTAAGATAATAGTAGCAGCAATAATAAATATAGTTTAATCTTCAAAATCTATCTAAATATCGCACTCATTAAGAGCCCTATTTAACTTCTTTATATTCGCTTTAAAGATATAGCCTTTTATAGTACTATACTTAATCGTTATAAAAGGTATTTCGAAATAATAGAAATTAACTAAGCGAGATATATAGAAGCTTTAAATATAATAAGGAAGGTAATAGAATACGATATGAGAGAAGATTTATCTATTTAGTACTACTTTTGGTGGTGTGTGTGTGATAATCTCAGTGCCAAGTATTCCAACGTTTTCTGCACACGCTAATAAGGCGGCAGCCGGCAGGCGCGCTGGTGCCCGTTCAAGGTCCCGCCAACCCAAAGCCCCGGGCCCCAGGCTTCACAGAAGTCAGTGGTTTTGATTTTGCACGGGCGGCCGTACAGGTGACCTTTACAGAGCAGCCAGGAAAACCTATTCTGCATTTTCCAAGCAGCTCAGTTGACCCATGTGAGTTGAATTAGGAAAAACGCGATCATGACGGGAGTGATGACATCAAGACCTCCGACGATGGGTAGATGCATGAGCTAAGCAGCACTCTCTCTCATCATGCACTCGTATCCTTGTAGTTACTCTCTAGTCACTCGTTGCCGTCCCTGTGGCTTGCACCTAACCGCTTCACTAAGTTCTCCTTTAGTAGACTAGGCACAGATCACCGGGGTGCCAGAAGGTCTGAGGCATTTCTCTCTTAGAATGGTTTTGCATTCTTGATCCTTCTTTCTCGCTCAATTGTACGGCCGGCATCTATCTGCTTGGCACGTATGCATCTAACAATCGAGGCTGGATGTTGAACCCTTGGGGAGGGTATGATTGGTGGGTGTATCCGCTCCGGACCGCTAAGATGACAGATCTCTCGGCCGTACGAGTATTGCTCTTTCTGCTCTGAGATCCGTGATACCATGCGGCTTCAATGGCGCGCCGATTTTTAGCTGAAGTATGGTAAATGGTAGTAGCTCCGGCGATATATTCCAAATAACTCTCCGACGATGGCCTTGGAAGGACGAATTCGTGAAAGTCTGTTGTCAATCAAGTTTCAAGTTTTAACAGACACACTGGGGTGTTGCCAGTTGGCTTCTCCGGCAATTGAAATTTGCATTCAGAGGTCTATCTTAGGCTGTATATCAGTACCCTAAGAGGTCTGTATTAGTATCCTAAGAGGTCACCCTCCTCTACTTTGCCAGCTTTCCTTCCTATCCCCAAACAAGGAAGCGAATCAAAGAACCCTAACAAAGACCTGCAACAACATGAGCGGCATCCCTGGAGAAGGCTTCGACAACCGTCAGGTTCAAATAATTGCAGTCACAAGCACATGCTTGGTACTGTCCACCGTAGCGGTTGTACTCCGGCTCCTAGTCCGTTGGTCCTCGGCGGCGGTGTTGTGGTGGGATGACTGGGTAGCTGTTCTTGCTTTGGTTGGGCTCTTCGGGAACCCATCATTGGATTGGTCGCTTACTACTCCTGGTGTCTCAGGTGACTTCATGGCTCGTGAACATCTTCACAATAACCGGTAGGAGCCTTGATAGGCATTCTCAGGCTCTAATGCCAGACAAGGAACTTACAGGATTATTCAGGGATCAGTTCTGGCTTGGGAAGACACAACTCTCAAGTGGATCCGAGTAAGATAACATCTTTTGGCGTGGTATGACCTTTACTCACTGGATTTCTCACCCTTATCCTGCGTGCTAACAAGCACTTTCCGCCAGAGCGTCTTCGTCCAACAAATAACATGGGCCCTCTCAACCGGCCTTATCATCCTCGCCATCCTCCTTTTCTACATCCGGATCTTCCCTACTACATGGATGCGCAAGGCCGTCTACGCCATAGGCGTTTGGGACATACTTTGGACCATCTCCACAGTCCTAGTCACCATACTCCAGTGCACCCCCATTGACTTTATGTGGAACCAGAACATACACGGCGGAAAATGCATCAATTCTGACGCCTTCTATTTCGCGTGCGGGCTGACCAGCGCAGCCACCACCGTCACCGTCCTGTTCCTACCACTACCGATAGTTTGGAAGTTGCAAGTCTCTAAATGGAGGAAAACAGGATTGGCGATTTCGTTTACTATTGGAGCCATGTATGTAGTCTTGCTAGGCGCCTTCCAATCTTTTCTAGCGCTGCTGCTAACGTGAGGTCTCTTCAAAACAGCGCTTGTATAGCAAGCATTGTCCGGCTGGTCGTCCTTCTCGATGTCGATTCCGAGGATCTCATGTGTAAGTCAATCTCTCAACAGCCTTTTACATAGACTCGGTGCCTATTTAATCCGTTGGTCATAGACACCAGTACCCTCGCTCAACTCTGGTCCTGCGTCGAAGTCAGCGCTGGCGTCATCAGCGTCTGCCTCCCATCCCTAACTACCCTCTTCCTCCTCCTTTTGGGAAAAAGGCCCAGCAACTCCACGCATCACATCATCTCCACTGACAGACACCGCGATGGAAAGATAGAGAATGCAGAATGCAGTCGTACACTGCATGCAACGGATGAGACTCTATGGCTGCAGAGCCTGGAATTGATGTGGGCAAGTCTTCTCAAATCGGAAGGGAGCGGATGATCGATCCTGGTTGCCCGTCGCGTTGATCAGGTGAGATATAGTAAGATGGGTTGGGTGCCTGGAGTAGAGCAGGCGAGAGTTGTCATGGTCGCTTCGACGTGGAATACTAAATGCCGGTCCTGAGGTCGTTGTTAGGCTCTAAGATGGCTTTCAACTTGCACGCTACCGATAATTTTAGAAACGACTAATTTACGCATCTAATTAGTGCTCAAAGAGATATCAGCAAGTCATCGTAAGGGTATACACAGCCCGACATCTACCCTCTTGTGGAGGAACACGATTAGGCGTTCACTTTCGGATTTTCGTGGCTTAGGCTAACGAATGAATGGAAGGGTTGCGAGGGGAGCTTGATCTCACTACATCGTGGTGTGGACATGGAACACATAGCTGATTTGAAACTCCTGGGTATTTCATTGGTAAGTGGTGCTGTAGTCAAAGCCTCTTTGAGACTTTGACGCCAAGCCATCGGCGACAACATCTCTGCTCAACTCATCTCGCCAGGCTCTTGCTGCATTTAACCCATGTGCTTACGACTCCTCGCAAAGTAAAGGACCGTAGCTGCTAGGCATGAGAAGTACGACTATTGTACCAAAATGATTGATGACATTAAGAAGCATGGAAAAATGGAGAGGAATTCCCGAAATGACTGTATTCTGTTTGTTCATGATTATTGCTCCCCAAGTGAATCAAGGAAACTGTACAAAAGAAAGGAAAGTCTTGCTATAGTCCCTGTCTACACCTTCTCTTCACCAGAGGCCGAGGCCCTCGCCTCTACGGACATAACCCTTCTGGAATTTGGGGTTAGAGCGCTTAGCAAAGACTTGATATCCTCCCACACATTTCGTACCATCAGCCACAGGGATCCATGTGACGGTGAGTTGAGGCGTACACTCGCCAATTTGCTTTCCATCAGGCGAGCAGACGGACTGGCCAGCTGTGGAGCATGTGCCGGTGGACGACGTGGAGGGCGTTGTTGAGCTCGACGAAGAGTTCGTTATTGCCGAAGGCGCAGAGCTAGGTGCTGCGGCAGCCACGGAAGGAGCTGCGGCGACCACTGGAGAGGCAGAAACTGAAGGAGCAGCAGCCATTGAAGTGGCGGCAGGTGCAGGAGCGTCAGAAGTGGCCATCGAAGGAGCAGCCGAAGCAGCACTGGAGGACCCAGGAGATGCTGGAGCAGATGACCCAGACCCAGATAACCCAGACCCAGATGACCCAGACCCAGATGACCCAGATGAAGACGATCCAGCGGCAGCTGTACTTGAATTCGATGAGGATGAACCACCACCAGCCACAACGTTACATTTAGCGCCTGTTGGGGCAGTGAGTGCGCTGGTTCCATCCTTTTCGACGGAAGCTCCTGGGTCTGGAAATAACACATCGGCTGAGTCCACAGTCTCGCAGTCGGTTGTTGGTATGTTAGCCTTGAACATGCCTGGGAAAGATGGCGTCGTGCGTTCATAGAGCTCGGGAATGCCGAGAGTTTCATTAAGAGTGGCTGCTCTCTTCTTCGATCCTCCGCTGACTTTGATCGACGCGCAGTTCATGTACATCTCCCGGTTGCCTATTTTGTTGAACCAGGTCCAGGCTAAAGTGTATGATCCCGGAGTGATGCCTTGAGGGATGGTGTAGGTGTAATTGCTGCCTCCACTTTGGCCGGCGGCGTCGTTGCCAGAGACGCCTTTGGCAGGGCAGCCCCCCTCAATGGAGTGAATAACCATCCAGCTGGAACTCTTTGTTGCTGGCATATCCGTGGTGAGAGAGATTTGGCATGAGCCTCCACCATGTACTGCAGATCCGATGAACCAGAGTGGCTGTGGTGCACCAATGGCCATCTCCGTGACAATCGCGCCTGCGTTGCTTGTAGCTTTGCAAGGGAAGTTAGAGCCATCTGCTACGAGAGGGCTGTTGTCTGGACTGCCGTATGGTGGTGGCGACCCAAGGATCATATGGGCGCTCGTTGTGGCAGCAAACAGGGCGGACGAGAAGGAGAGAATGGACATGATTGAAGACATGTTGTTGTTGAACCCAGCTTTTGTGCTTCGTTCCCGACGAAGAAGTGTAACTTTTGAAGCTGGAGTTTTGAGAGTTGTTGGTTTGCTTGGTGGGAGTGCTGTTGCAGTGGATGTGAAGTAATGAAAAAGAGGAAGAAGACTTGTGAAGGAATATTTAAAGGCGACCAGCGCAGTAAGGAACAATTGAAATTCGCGAAGTACAATGAAATACTGTACAATGTGTTATTGTGGTATTTGAGAGAGAACAATGGGGAGATCACTACAATCTTAAAGAACAATGGAGAACAATGGTGCTACTCAACTACGAGGCAAGACGTTTGCAGTGAATGTAAGGGGCAAAAGGAAACAAAGGTACAACATAGCGAAGCAAATTTGAGCCCTGACCTTGGGGTAGAATACGGCCTGCATGAAACAACCCAATCTAGATTTGCAGAACGTTCGCAGAATGTAGCCGTGTCTTGTCCAATCCTTGGGCGTAGAATACCCCATCTGGCGATGAATGGTTGTTTGATATTAGTGAGCAGAGCGGGCAAGAAGTAGTAGCAGGGACTCGGATAAGATAATGAGCAGTAAATAAAGTTCCATTGCACGAGAATCAATATCCGAGGGAGAAGTCTGAAAGCATCACACGCGTAGTGTTTCAGGTTCGGCGGCGGTTAGGAATTACTTGGCGCTTCGATAGGCCACAAACAACCAGAACTTGTCTCGCTGATAATGGAGAAAAATGTGTCACAAGCTGTGCCTGCATATCGCAGTTTTAATTTACCGTGAATGAACGAAGAAGACGAGGCTGAAGGAAACGCGGGTTGGTGAAAGAATGGATCCTTCTCTGCCAAGTGATCTCGGGATAATCTCGGAATGACGACATATACGAGTAAAGATATCTGATACTCTAAGCCTTTTAGAGCTTAGCGTGGAGGCTCGATCCGAATCCTTGGAATTGATTATGGCTCGGAGAGAAACACGCCGAGTACACAGTGTTCAACATGCTATACATACGAGCGATGTATCTCAATTCAAGCACATACGAGAAGTTTCTCCCGATAGCCATTCATGCTCCGGAGTCATGTGATGCCAGACAGCCTCTCAGCTATGCTGTTCACTGATCGCCGGATCCGGCTCGGATTGTGACATCTACCCGCTGCTCGTAATCCGCGAAGACAAGTGCATAGCGGAGATCATTTTACTGTTGTCTGGGCATCGTACCGCCAAAGATGTTGAAATCCTATGTTTGCGGAGTAGACCGTTTTCGAAAGCGTTCCATCAACGAAAGGAGAGGTGAAAGAACACAGACTGGTACGAGTAACAGAGCGTCGAATCGTTGAACTCTAGCGGTCTAGTATCAACGGATACGAAGACTGCTTTGACGCAGCCTCTGACCCACTCCTAGTACCAGCCCAAGCCAACGACTGCCTTCACGCTGCGATACAAATCCTCTAGACAGTGTCACTTACTCGGCCCATTACTTTTGCAAGGAGACGAACTGGGGGTTCTTCCAGCTGCCAGAGGTCTTTCGTTATGGCACCTCCATGATCTCTGTGGACGTAGTTCAGGACTCAGACGAAGACAAATTTACACTCTGGACAGTACACAAGGCTTCCTTGGATCTTTCCATGAAATGTGTACGAGGGTTCTCTCATGTTGGTGGGAAGTTTTTGGTTGGGCCAGAGAAGCTTGTCTATTACTGGTCTTCGGGACAACTTCAAAAAGCAGCATCTATAGACGGGGAACTGGTCCAAGCAGCACCAAACATGGCCAATAACGTCACTCTAGAAGTTGCGTGAAAGGTATCTAAAATCGCCAGATGGTGAAAGTTGTTGAGCCAACTCTTTAAACCCTTTGTTCTCCGCATGCTTATTTCAGAGAGTCGGTGTCTTTGATGGTCATCGAACAATCACCTGACATTGTTGCGCTTACGGTCTTTGTCCGGAGTCTTTCGTTGGTTTGGATTTGCCATTGTGTTAAGCCCCAGTCACTTTGTGCTACCTCATTTCTGTAGGACTAATTATGTCATGACAACTTAATCAAAGGGATTGGATTACTCCCTCCTCTTTCATACTCCCAAACTCTCCGAGCCCGGTATTTTCACATTTGCTCGACGGAAAATTAGTCTGTTCACATTCGACATGAAGATCTGTCCTGTCGCTCTGTTATTCGAGGACGAGTCAAGCAAGGCCGAAGACGAAAGTACAATGTGTCCCGTCAGCAGTGTCAACTATATAGTCAAGAAAATTGAGACTGAGGCCGACGATGACAGCCATACGTCTACTGTCAGCAAGACGTTGATGGAACAAACCTTAAAGGAGCAGACTGAAGAGACTAGGTTATACCTCGTTGAGATTGCAAGGGACGAGGATATAGACCAAGATGCTCGATCCTTCGCCCGGACAGTAGCCGAGATAGTGGAGTGGTGGCAGCAGTACGCCGAAGAGAAGAACCCAACCACTCACCAAATCGACTTTGGCGTAGGCCCGCCGCTCAATCTACTCATGGTCCTTGCCCTTGTACCAGAGAAATACCAAGGTTTCATTCGCATCGAAGACAAGCATCGATCGCCCTACGGTAACGGGGAGAACCTGAGCTGGTTACATGAACAGACCATGGACGTTCTTATAGGGCTCGGGAAGGACCCATTTCCAGCGTCTATACTTTTCGGGCAAGGCTTAGCCTCCATGGTCCGGGACGACGTGGATGAAGGTTGGCGAGTCTTCACCGGACGGTCTTGGCTTGAGGACCAGATTCACCTATGGTCGAACGACGAGCTTGAACCTAACCTATACCAGTTCCCACCTGAGACAAAAAAGATTGTCTTTTGCTTCAACCCCACCGAAATCCACTGGACAGTCGTTGAGGTGAACTTAGCCAACGACGTATGGACCTATACTCTTTACAACTCCTTTTTCCAGGGCGAGAAAGGACCAACGTGGCGAGCGTGCCAAAAACAGTTCCCGCTTCTCGAGCAGCTGATATGCCATGCCTCGGGGTTTCCAGAGCCAGACACTCGCGAGATTGTTGCAGCAACATCAGCGCAGCAGGACAACACGTACGATTGTGGACCCATCGCGATATACAACGCTTTAGAGCTCCTGGAAGGTCGCAGGCCCAGGACTGAGGTGGATGCAGAAGAGCTCCGCTTGAGGTATCTTATGCGCATCCTCAATGGTCTCTATTTGTTAGATGAGAGGTTAGAAACGCCAGAGTTCAGAGCTTGTATGCGAGAGATATGCTTAGAGTATCCGTCATAGGTTTCGTTTTTATTTAGATACTGAACTCAGGAGACAGAAACACCGCAATGGTTGTAGATCCAAAGATGCAAAAGACAAAAAAGACTCTCTCTTCATTCCTTAGTATATACCTTTCTGTAAACCTTCGCTCGGGAGTTCTCTTGAAACTACCTGTATTGAACCAGATTCATAGTATCCCCATTTCTACGTATTGCGTGCTGACTTCAAAGTCGTTATCAGAAATGAACCCTATAGGATTACCATGCGTTTGCTCGACATCTATGGTATAGCAATCGTGGGCTTACAGATGTTCCTTACCGTGGCTGTGTCAAAGCATGTCCCACTCCCTCAGAATCCTCTCAGCCGCCTTCCAATGATGACTCGCCTCTAAGCCAAGCGTTGCTATCCGGAACAACTCCCTGCTAAGTCGAAAGTGCTCGTCATACGCCAGACGCGAGTACTCAGGTCCAGCACATTCCTCGAAGAGAAGCTTGAGCTCTTGTTGCTCTGGTGTAAAGGCAAGTTATTGGCTCCTTCAACTTCATATGGCCAAGGCAGCGAGCCATCCTCGTCAACATGACCATCGACATTGTAGGCCCATAGCCACCCAGATGGCTCGCAGTTCACGAACTTTGGTGCAAAGACCGCCTCGTCCCGGGCAAAAATCCCTGTGACCTCAAGAGAATTGTCTGGTTGGAGTTTGACCATGATGTTGCGAGGGTGTAAGTCGACGTGGCACAGCAATTCTTCATGCAGAGCTTGGAGCATGGCATTCCAGAGCTTGACGTCTGGATCATGGTCACGTTGTCCGGCAACAGACCATACGCACCAACGAGTGAGTTAGGATTCGAACAACTCTACGGCAGAGCTTGAATGCGAACAAGTTTCTTGGCGTCCGGGCCTTCAAGAAGCTCACCATAACCATCCCTCTCCCGTAGCTCGAATGGAACGATCAGCAGCTTTTCTGTACCATCATTTTGTGCTTCAAGGACGCCGGCGACTGAACTCTCTAACGACAAAAGCTGTCTGATTACACCGCCCAACTTGCGAGCGACACTATGTCGCTGGCTATAGCTGAGATCATTTCATACCAAATTGATATCAGTCCCGGCAATGCGGTGCTGTAGTAGTATGGTTTCTTCAGTGAGTTGTCACTGCTGAAGTCCTTCGCCGCAACCTGGGCCGCAGGTATTGACGTCCTCTCGCGCACATAGTTCAAAGTGGCCACTTCCCGGTCAGGTCTGGCTGTCTTCTCTCGTGGTACTCGAAGGATCAGCCTGCGACTGTCCACGCTGTATGATGAGGGTAATATTCTACCCGTGATGCGGTTGTAATCGCCCCCCGGGAGCCGCTCTATCAGTGGGGTTTGTAGCGAGGGGACAAGAGAGCCGCAGAAACTATTCGTGCGCAATCGGGCGGCAGCTTTACTCTTCAGGATACGAAGCTTGATGGATTTCTTTGGAGGCCATAGCTTTTGGCAGAGTCTACCGACAAACTCACTGAACACATCGTAAGGCTCCCGATCACATTTAATAGTTGAGGTGTGTGAACCTCCAGAGGAGGAGGTGGTAGAAGAGTTTGATCCAACAAATGCTTGTTGGACGAGGTGGGCGAGCTGGGAATCTCCCCGCGCATCTCCGCCTTCTGCGCTGCCGGAGACGGTGGGCTTGTCAGAGCAAAACCTTCTGTTTTCCTATGGTCGGAGCCCATGATTTTGAATGTTCGAGGAAAGCGGCTGTGATTTGAGCCTCATTCAACGTGAAGATATATGCGCAGAAAAGTAGCTGGCGAAATTTCTACGGAGATGGAGGGTTAATAACACTACGGACTTACCACAAAAAAAGAAGGAAAAGCGTGTTCTATTGTTATGATTCGGCCAGATACACCAAATCAAATATTTTTGTTCTTCTTGTTTGAGCTCGTCAATCATCAAGAAATGACGCATGCACAAGTAGATATGTAGATATATGATTGGGCATATGCAACACTGGGGCAGCTAAGACCTTTCTGGACATGCAAATAGCCCAGAAAGACCCCCCGGCGCTAGAAAAACTCCCATGTCTAAGCGACATGCCCTGGAGTGAAAAATGAAGCTATATAGGTGTGGGTGGGAGGGAGAACAATAATATGGCTCTGAAAGAGAACAATCCGAATGAAGAGCCCACTACTGGTGCAGTGGCCATACAAATAGTACTCGCCATGGCCACCTGTCTCCCTACTATCGCATATCGCATATTGATGGACGGTCGATCAAACAGCCACCAACGCTATGGCCTCATAATGGACCCACTAACCCACAGTCCCACTGTTGCGACCCTGTCTACACTCTGCACTTGGTTCTTTGAAATCTTAAGCTTGGTCTGAAAGTACTCACTCTCCTCAAGGCAAAGGTGTCAGAAACACGTTTTTCAGCCTCTCAACGGTCAATGCCGCCTTCCTTGCGATTCTATCAAGGAAGTGTTATAGGCTTTCTTTTTGTATCAGTTGATTGAGTGACGGTTGACCCTACAACACCTATGCCACTATCTTGGGTTTCTCATAAATATTCTTTCGTGCTTCCATCTGCAACAGCAGTCCTCGTTGAGCCTTTACTACTACCACCATTACCGTCACGATTGATCCTCTTAAGGTATGGGTTCCCACTGCACAGCAAACGAAAGGCGACAAATACAATGACCAAACCTGATCATTGCCCGAAGAGATCGCAGGGCGGCTGCCGCATGGTCGAGGTTATCTGCACCAAGCATCAGATTCATGTAAAACCGTCTTTGTGGGGGAAGACATGTAGTAAGAACCATCTCAAAACCGAGGGCTGCCCTAAATGTGGAAGCTAGGGAGTCTACTCGCCCTAAAAAGCAGTCCATATCACGGTATATCTTCGATCACACTGGTAGAGGCGTGGTAGGGGTTTTGAATATGTATTTATATTCTCGTTCATATTGTATCCAAAGCTTTAGCAAGCTTCTTCGGCAGACGCATCGTTTTAGTCGCAGCATCTCAGGTGAATTACGGACCACCTTGCGTTGAAAATAACTTTAAAAAAAAAAAAAAAAAAAAAAAAAAAAAAAAAAAAAAAAAAAAAAAAAAAAAAAAAAAAAAAAAAAAAAAAAAAAAAAAAAAAAAAAAAAAAAAAAAAAAAAAAAAAAGGGAAAAAAAAAAAAAAAAAAAAAAAAAAAAAAAAAAAAAAAAAAAAAAAAAAAAAAAAAAAAAAAAAAAAAAAAAAAAAAAAAAAAAAAAAAAAAAAAAAAAAAAAAAAAAAAAAAAAAAAAAAAAAAAAAAAAAAAAAAAAAAAAAAAAAAAAAAAAAAAAAAAAAAAAAAAAAAAAAAAAAAAAAAAAAAAAAAAAAAAAAAAAAAAAATAACTTCCTATCCACTTTCTAGAATTATTGTGCACAATTTGACATCCTTAAGGTCCTATTTGTGAACGTTTTGGTTCTCTACTTTAAACTTATCGAACGAGGCACACACACTGTTTTGCGCCTCTTGTATCCTCCAGTCGCCATCTCAAACCTAATGACTCCATACGTGACCTCGAAGAATGCAACATCGTAGCTTTCAGACTCCAGCTGAAGGCGTGTATGGTCCGAATGCTTGAAATGGATCCCTTTTAAAGGGACCATGAAAAGCTCTGTATACTGGTACGCTGACCCAGATATAAATACACACGTACTTGAGGACGTGTATATGCCTCGTTATTCAAGTGCAACACTAGGGGTCGACTTGCGATTTCCAAGCCACGTCCTCAAAGAAGCACGCCGCTTCGCCCTCGCCAACTGCGAACCTGGAGTAGTCGGGCTGGACTTTACATCTGGCGTCATCTCGATGACGCCGACGTTGAGATCCTTCTGACTAATCTCTGCAGCTTTTGCAAAATCTCCAAAGCGCAGTTCCACGACCCAACCCGGCTTAATGACCGCGCCCCATATTTCTGGCAAAATGATTTCACCCGTAGGACTCAGAATGTCATAATTTCCCCGTAAGATCCTAGAGTTCATGGATTCGACGTGGAAAAAAATGTGTCTTATCAGGTTCTCCATATTCTGAGGATGGATTACTAGGTCAGCCTTGAGCCTGTACTATTTTACCATAGGGAGTCTCACCTGCCAAGATCTGCACGTGTCAATTGGAAAAACGAACTTCCTCCCCAGGCAATCTTTCAGTATCACGGGCTCAGCCTCTTGACCAGTGGTAATTGACTGCTGATACTGGGCTTGCTGCTCGCTTTCCTGGCAGGATTGCGTATCTAGTGTACCATGTTGCAAAGGCGGACGCTTCATCATCTCAAGCATCTTATTCTCGAATAACCTGAAAGCACTGTCCATGGACACGCTTGCCTCATTTCCTGCAACTGTTTCTTGAGATTTTGCGTCTGCCGGCTGGCCTGCATATTTATTTGCACCGGACGGAGATCCGCTAGGAGAGACGGCGCTACAAGAGAGACACCGGCCTGAGTGACTAGAAAGGTATGGCGGTGCAGGAGTAGATGGTTCTTTTGGACTTTGTAGTCCTTGGTCACTTGGTGAGCGAAGTGCGCCTTCGGCTTTCGTTTCTCGACCACCCTCTGTGTTTTGGGAAGCAAGTGGCAGCGAACTTGGTAGCTTCTTGCCATTCCGACGCCGCCCTGCGGGTAAGGTAGATGAAGTTCTAGATCTTCCCTCCAACGAAATGTTTTGACTGTCATCAAGCTCATTTGCGGAGCCACTGTTCTCCAAAAGATCCGATATTGGTCTTCTGGAATTGTGATGTAGACTCGGCGGTCTCTCGTAAGGACCAGGGGTGCTCGCCTCATGGATATGCTGAGGGGCTTTGCTCCGACGAAGTGGAAGCGAAGTCTCAGGAGACAAGGACGAGCCATCATCCTCAGAAAAGTATCTTGGGTCGACATACGTCCAATGGCGCATGAGCGTGTCTATAGTCTCCTCAGCCTTTGCCTTAAGAAGTGTGGACCTGCTCATTCTCTGTGCGGACTTGAAGTTCTCATCAGCTGTCTCGTGAGGTATGACGTTCAAGATCAACCGGGAAGTTGCTTGCTCCTTCATCGGTCTAGATCTGGACCTTGACCTTCGCGTTGTCTGAGATGAGGTAGATCGGCCGATACTTTCTGCATCCGAGTCTATAGACATATCTAGATCACTCCGGTTCTCCCGAGGGGAGGATGGGAACATAGACCTGTCGCCATTCGGTGTGCTTGGGCTTGTCCGTGTATTGTTGATGTCTGGATATTGGGAGCGTCGGGGATCCTCATTGCTTCCGGGCGTGGGGTTCCAGAACGCCACGACAAACTTCCTCTCAGGTGATTGGCCACGCGTGTGGATAGATTCCGAAAGCGGAAATATGTCAGCAAAAGCAAGTGGTGGCTCGTTTTCAATCGATTCCAAGTCTGTTTGGGATGTCTGGTCCTCAAAGTGCTTCAATCTCTCAACCGCATGACGATTGTCGATCACGAGGCAAACAAGGCCTCGCCGCTCTTTGCGAACGTACCAATGTCCGATATGCTTCACTCCTCTTACATGAGATCAGCTGGTTTCATCAAATGTATGATGCTGTGAGCTCACGGATATTCTTCTATGCCCTTCGTACTCTTCGCAAGTTGTACGACGTGGAGAAGAACATTCAATGTCGATTTCAGAGACTCGAGACTACTGCGCAATGGCTTCACTCGCTCTCTCTTGAAGTACCAAGCCAACTTCTCACGAAACTTCCTCCCTTTCAGACCCAGGTCGGCTCCAGTATGTTTCTGGATATCCTTGAAGATACCGGCACATCTAAGCACAATTGACTGTGCAGCTTCCCGCAACCGCGGCTTAAAATTCAATCCATCATCACGGAGGACGCCATCGAGCTCTTCGAGAACCATTGCCAGTAGTGAAACATTGTTTGCGACATCTTGAATCTCCTGGCGGCTCACTCTTACCGTCGTGTAGAGATCGTAAAGAGACTTAGACAACTGCACTCCTGCGGTGGCTACTCCAGCAACAGCAGAAAGGCCGTCCATCGAGGTTAGCGAACTCAATCACACAGCGAGACCTAGCTGCCATCAGCTTTCCATCCTGCCAGTGGGTGTAGAAGGAAGTACTCGTTTCGGACGCCAGAAAGTTAGGAGGACCGTTAGTGGCTCTGAAAATGCGGGCTTACAGGGGTTTGTGGCAGTGCAACACGGCACAGCACACAAGGCTAAAGGATGCTACCTTAGGCGAGGCTGAGCAGCGAAGAATGTTGCGAACCAAGCTAATTAGGATCCGCGTGCGTGAATTCGCCTTCCGGACAACCATTTTCATTCAGGTGAGAGAGGACGTTGTCCTGCCCCGACTGGAGGGTCGAGCATGGGTCCAGAAAGGAGGACGTATCTGCGCTGGACTTCATTCGCGCTCGGTAGCCCTCAGCTCCATTGACATAAGATTGCATCCGAAGCTTCACAAGAACATGGCTCTCGGCTGATCCTACTCATAAACGCGCATCGATCCCTCGCGGTGACCCTAGGTTCATTTCGTCGGTCGTTGTGCTACAGATACATGTCCTAAAGACTGATGAAAGTGTATCTCAGCATCGAACAATACATAATACTGGAAGATTCACGAGCGCATCCACTACATTCTTGCATAAGAATCCATCTCATGTACGAACGGAGGTAGCAAAGAAACATTCGGGAAATGACGATCAACACACAAAAACATCGCTAGTCCGGTTTATAACGGGTATAGAACACGAGCAGGGTCTTCCAAAATCTGCTCGGCGGTAAAGTTCGGGTTCGTTCCCGTAACTTCTTCTCGTCTTTCCCGTCTCCGCAAATTTAGAGGGGGGGAGGGGGATATATTTTTTTTTTTGAATTTAGAATAGGTGGGTATATTTTGTTGTCTTCGATTTTTCTCTCCAGTCCCGATCCTTGCCGTGGTTCCCCGCCACTAGCGAAGATAGAAATAGCCCGATTGTGACCAAGTAAAGAAAACGGGCTTTTCAGTCTTTACTGTATGATTGCATTTTAAGCCTTCAAGTAACGAGGACATGAAATGTACCAAGACTGTGAGGGTCGGGCAAGAACGCGAACACACGTTCGGCCAAGGGAGAGACTTATCAAAGTCTTGATCGCATTAGTTAAACAGAAGCCTGGGGTCCTTTTCTCCGGTCGAGGGTCTCTGCGATGATGTGGGAGGGTAGCATGCCGAGGCACGCATCTAGAAAGTGCGCAATGTGGCCATGCGACTGGTGATGATTGGCTGCGCATTATTCCCCTCAAGGCGAAAACGTGGTTTCTATTTTATCTCAACATGCGCACAAGTGTGCGCCTTGCCGCAGCTGGACATGAGCGCACAAAGTAAGACGTGTTTCTGTTGTCACTTTATTGCACTCCCATGCCATGGCTTTGACGCACTTGCCCAAAGTCGCTTTAGTTGGGGCATGTGTTGCTTTCGGGCTGGTCTTGGACACTACCCTCCCGGAGACTATCTTCCCGGAGACGTTGACAAATGGAAGTTCGATGAGACACTTGAATCTGACGAGCAGGCCCGATAACATGGAATTCATCTGTAACGGGGGCGTATTTGGTCGGGGCTTGGCGCTCAACAGCTGCGGTGATGCGAACCGGCAAATGAGTTTCTATTCGCAGACACCACGTACATGGGGACTGCGGGGTACTGGGGCCTTCGATGTTGACCTGCCGCTGCGGTTCATAAGCGGTATAGCATTGAATTGGTGGACGGACGGACGTAGCCTTACTGATATCTTCCACAGCTGACGGCCTGTGTTACATTGAACCACAACTGATTGGCGGTGCGAAGCATGCTCGGGCAAGTGAGCAAGAAGCGGCTGCTGCTGCGTTCGTCATTATCACCAAATGCATATTGGGCCGAGCAATTCCACAAGGTGGGATTGCGAGAGCTATCGGCAAGTACTTCGAGGAAAGAGGGCCACATCAGGGCTGATGAGATGCAAGGGGGCGACAACAATCTCGCCATCGCTGTTTCTGCATACGAGCCAAAGGTACAATGCTACGGGACCATAGACCCGCCCAGCTTGCTGGATTCTTGCCAGAACATCGTCGACAAAATGGATGCCAGTACTACTCTCTTAAAGTTAACTACGAGCGGGGCCAATGATGCTGCGATCACTCTACCCTACACTCTCGAATCAGGTGGGTACGCCAGTAACCTAATGAGGCCGCCACGTGCTTCTGACATCCTAGTAGAGGACAAACGTTGCGTGATGATCATCACTACTATCGGCGGACAGGATACTTATACCTGGAGAAAATTCTGGGAAGTCGCCGTTGCACTGACTGGGATGTGTGCAAGGACTGACCGCAATGGCGTTCGGAACCACCTTGGTGAGTCTGACCGTTGCTGCCAAGTCACTCAGCAACGATCTAAGGGAATTTATAGGTGATAAAAAACGTCTGTCTTTAACCCTAGCCCAGCTTTAAACTACACACTGCCAATAGATGAGATCTATCCCGTTTCCCAACCTGAAAGAAGGGAGTGCCGGAAGCTCTCGAAGTGTCGTGGGAGGAAGATAGATATAACATTCGCTTTGGCAATACACTCCCTCCTCGGGCATGGTGCGGCAGCTTACTGAGACCTCAGTTGCTCGTGCGGTTTTGAGAGCCCCCAAGCTATTTTCCAAACATTCTGATCCAAGGTATTTTAGCATATGTAAGCGATTGCAAAACGCTGCCAAAGAATGAGCTCGAGCCTGGGGGCGTGTGATTGAGTAAAGCGTAGTGATGCGGCCATAATGCTCTGCGGTTGCCCATAGTACCGCCGCTGAGACTAATGGAAGCCTTGAGACAGCACAAATCGATATGCGCTCGCACGCAAGCGACCGGCCATACCACCACCGCATGCGCCAACGGAATTACATGCGAACCGTTGTATAACTACACCAGCGGTGTCCAGTTTTGCCGCCTGAACATGCGAGCACCGCGCCGGAATACAAAATCTTACAAGAACCATGGGTACCTGGCAAGCAATATGTGCTGTCTTCATATTCATCGTTGGCACCCTATGCCTTGCGGCGCCAAGGCTAAAACTCCCAGCATCCTCCTTACCAGCGGCTCCACCATCAACCTCCGGCCGACGACTCAATGTCTCTCGATCATCCAATACCACAAACATAGACTCCGTGCGGGTAAGTTCGAACACCACCGAGGTCCAAATACGAAGCTTAACAGTGCGCAGCGCCTTCCCCGACCCCCGGGGTTTTCACCTTTTGGTCAGCCTTAACAGTCGACTTCTATGGCTCCAGCGACCCAGTATCCATCTCGAATTCTTGAAAAGTACGTTCGAAGAGCCGAAGATGAAATCGCGAAATGAGTCATCGCCCTCCATGCTAGCAATTCTCGGGTAACAAGGATGTTCAGGTATTGCGAGTCTGCTGTCGATCTTTGTCATAGTGCCACGCGAACGAAGAACATGCGAACGAATGACATGGCACATAGCGAGAGTTCCCTCTGTTGTAGAGTATCAGTTGCGGCGTAATGCCTGGAAGGGTGCGCAGTTTATCATTCAGTGGGAGGGCTTGGGCGATGCTGGGTGTGGGTCTCTGACGGACGCGATTGTAGAAAACGGGCCTATGCGATGAAGCTACATCGGGTACTTGGAATGGCAGGCAATAATTGTTGATGCACGGAGCCTTATAGTCCCATGCCATGCAGGTGGATTATCGTGCGTCTTGGACAAGGATGAGTCTCGTAGCGGGGAGGGTTATCTCGGCTGAAGGCTGTGTCTTCTCATCAAAGCATCAGGCATGGCACTTCAGTCTGGTGGAACTCCATAGCCAGCAAGCAGAATTCTCGTGCTGCTTCTCGGACAATGCTCACCGCGCTTGCAGCGCTGCATCCGGCCAAGATACTTGCCACCGTGCCGGCCCTTACGAACCCCAGTCTCGAAGCGCTTGGCCCGATTCCACGCTTTTCACTACCGCAACCTAACGTAGTTGTACGTTGACAGAATTATCGAGTTTCCAAGATTAGGCACAAAGACGATGCATCACGACTTGTTGCCCTAGGAGGTCACGACCTAGGCTCAACTAGAGGCCAACTTGTTAAGCATTTTTTCAACCATCTCCTCATCCATACCGATGTGCTTGGCAATTTCCAAAGCTTTGCCCAGTATCCACCTTTTCTGATCTGCTGGTATACCAGGCGCAGCATATGCTACCACCAAGGGCTGAAGTAGTACGAAGCTCCCACCCGGCCCCCTAGGCCCTCTCAATCTGGATTGACTTTCGTTTGAAGCTGCTGAACTTGTCTCGCCCGGACGAAATTTCTGGCAAGACTTGCGTGACCGACCACGGCCAACAGACTCGTCCTGTCTTACTTTCAAGACTAATTCGTCCAGGTGATATGGGACGCTTGCACAAATTCCATCAACTAACGTCCTTATAACTTTCTGCGCTTTTAAACGTGTCAACGAGTCATGAGCGGTGGCGACATCCCCTGGTATTGGTACTTCTGATGCCGGACGCTCAGCGCTGCAATATCGAGCGATCCAGTCCGCACAGCGAATATCAATGGCCTGGATTGCTATGCTATGCATGCGAAAATGGTTCAGCAGTCTAGCAATCCACGAATCCGGGTACGAAGCAGTGTATCCACGCCAAGTTGGTGCACGCGCTAATTTGGCGGAGTCCAAAGATTGTTTCTGGTTGTCAGGACTGACGAATGAGAATACCTCCCACTCTTTTGGTACCGAAAGTCGCCAAGCCATCAACTCCTGATTCAAAATTCGGCTCTGCTGGAAAACCTCGCATACAGACTGAGGCTTGGAATGATCTAGAGCTGCTCTGTCGAGTTTTCCACGGAGGACGGCAATCGCAAAAGCTATGTTTCCTAGTCTAGCCGAAAGGCCTGGAGATTCGCATCTTGCGCAGGCCCTTTTATCAGCCTCTACTATTTCATCACTGAAGGCGAAGCCTCCTGTTTTGTGCCAGGCGGGAAGGGCCGTCTACAACAGGTCAGTATTCATAGTCTGGAACAGGTCACCCCAAGCATACCAAGGTTATTTTGACAAAATTAAACGTTGTCCTTGCTGCATCGCTCTCGAAGTTCTGCATGCCTCGAAAGTTGACCAACGTAACGGCACCATTTATGTGTTTCATTGGGTCTGGCATCGACTGGGAAGTGGCGGTCATATTCTGAATCCCGGAAGTCAGCCACGACATTCATTATCAATGGCAACAGGACAAGCCTGTGAAAGGTTTACGAACCTCGAGCATGAGCATCAATAGCACCGTGCAGAGGGCGTCATCAGCCTTCGCTGTGCGAGGATCCTGTAGGGCATCTCGGAGTTTTACCACCGCCTCCCCGTACTTCCGCCGCGCCATATCCATACGCTGGTTGACGGTAGTAAAATGGGCAGACGTCACCCACGCCACGGCCAATATTGCAGGAATGCAAGGTGATGAAGAGCGAGCACCGGCGTACAGAGACGGAATGACGGCATGAAGAGTGTCGCGCCCTTCCTTGCTGCCGTCTGCAAGCGCGCAGAGACCACAAAACTGGTTAAGAACAGCCTGATCCGGGTCCACTGCGAATGACCTCATCAAAGGGCTGCGAATGTAGTGGTAGCGAGTTTTGAGCCTGGTCTTGTTCTCCAAGGCATGTCTTTTAGCCAATTCGTTCTCGTCGTGGAATACCACATCCGAGTGATCACGATATCCGTAACACACCCTCTTCGTTCTTCGACAATTGAGACAGGTTGGCTTTTGCTCATCGCACTTATCATGGTAGGGGAGTTAGCGTGGTTGTTGAAGGGAAATGAATTGCTCGCCTTGACTCTCCTGTTCCTGCAGATTTGGCAGCCAGTGCTTGGTCTTCCTCTGTTGCCCATTACGAAGAAGGGGCGCTAGAGACGGCCGGTCGGGAGGGAGAAGCCCCACTCGTAGGTGCTTGAACGTAGAAGTGTACAAGAGGCAAGCTACAACGTGATGTCATCCGATTGAAAATAGAATAGTGTGGCTAGAGAACCTGGTTAGTGATGCGAGCGCAAGGAAAACATGAACTGAAGATTAATGGCGGATCTCTAATATATCATGTCGCTCAATTTTAAGGAACAAGCCCGCACCTTCGAGAGCCAAACTCAGCCGAACAGCACCCAGTTTGACATGTGGAAGAAGCTGAATACTCGCTGGGACCTGCGCTGGGAAAGAGAAGTGTCGCGTCCAAATCTTAAGGGTAGATCATCTTCCCAATGGGACTGAATCCTTTTGGCTGAGTCCTCGTCCATGCTAGACCATACAATAATTTCGCGTCAGAACGCCCCAAGAATTTGAGGCTGAGGCACGAGGTCGCTAAAATTACGGGCCAACGCACAGCAGACGTAAAGTATGGATCAGCGGAGATTTTAGACGGAAGGGAAATGCCTGGTAGGCTGCCCCTGCATATAAAATAACAGCTTCTCGACCGGGGATTGGGGAATAATGGAGCGAGCCAATCATAAGTCTTGGTCGTGATCAAGGAACATGTCAATTTGCTTCTAGCGGTCTAGCCATGTGTTTGACCTTCTAGCCTCGTATTGACGCGAGCGAGCTATGCAGGTCGTTGCCTGGGTACTAAGCCGGATACAGTGCGGCTGAGGTTCTTGGCGTTTGTTAATATTAAAAATATAGTGCGGTGTCGGTACCGCCGCACTGGTCAAGAAGAATGGTGATGTAGTGTAATGTATGTGATTTTGTCATCATCACACCGCTTGCATCATGATGTCAATGTGGTGGGAGGACCTTGACCATACCGGCTAAGTATGATTTGTTGCTAGAATAGAATACTCAGCCAGAAAATCTGCAGCATCATTGTTTAATTCAGGCGGGAGGAAAGACATGTGTCAGCTGCACTTCTATCCATTGAACCTGCACTTCATTGGCTCACTCCCATTTTTGGGGCTGGTGGGGCTCTCAAAATCTACGTTCCGCCTTTTGGCTCCGGAAATGTAAGGCACCTAAAGCCAATCGCATCAAAGCTGAGAAAAAAGGTGAAGATCCTGCAGTTGTTGCCTATCTACCATGCGTGGATCACTTCGATATCGAGGGCACCCATACGACATCAAGGCCACGGATCTAGACTGATTCATGGACCTGGAAGGACCTTGTGTGAAGGATTGCGGAGGTGCGGATATCGATCGAAGCTGCAGCAACAGGACATGAGGCTGAAGAACTCTCTCGGTTGCGTTAGCTGTGCGGAATTTTCTCGTTAGTCACTGCCGAGCTAGAATCGAACGGCCATGTAGGAATTTGGAATATCGAATCCGTATGAAAGGCCCACGCATGCAAGGTCCCATGCAGCCTTTGCACGCTGACACCTTTTCAAAGTTGTAAGAGCGGATCACCAAGTTCCCATGTCTCCAAATATCAAGTAAGCCATCCGAATCGGACAAATTTGTCCCAGTTGTCGATACCAATGTATTTTTATATTCCTGCGGCGGACTGACTTCTTGCTCATTTCGATAGTATTAACTTCATTCCCAGCTGGCTACTGATGTGGTCATTGAAGGCAGTCCATGTTACCAGACGGTTCTCTCGTACACTCAGGCCATAACGACTAAGCAAAATATGTCTCTGCTCTCCAAGCTTTTGACAGTAATTTACTCATCCATTCCTACTCCCCCAACCAGCTCCAACAGATACCTCTTCAGCTCTTCACGGACCAATCAAAACCCCAAGCAGAATTTCAAATTCTTAAACCCCACCACACCCAATTATTTAACATGCGTACCGCACTCACCGCCCCTCTCCTCGAAGCCATTTTTTCCCCAAACATCTGCCCTTCCCCCAAGCAATTACTAGGCCCCTGTATCTGCCGAGCATCTAAAGCTCATGAGATCGTCTCCGCGAACACCACGCCGGACAATACCATGGCCGGTGCGGCGTGCACATTATACAATACCAAAATTGCGAAGGTCAAAATGGCTCTGGCCGAGGCACCAAGGACAATCGTTTGACTGTTTACCCAAAAGGCACCATCCAGGGTCATGTCGACGGAGTCAGCCTTCCCAACGTACCTGGATGGGAGCATGTTGAGTTGACAGCCAGCTCCCCTACGTGTCTGTGGTCGAGATTGGGGGTGTTGACACTGAGCCAATTTCTCCAAGAATGCGGCGCAGTCTCAGAACGGCAATGATGGTCAATGCAGTATTAGTGGGAACGCTAATGGATACCGCCAGATAGACTGCGAATTCAACTGCTGAATAAGACTAATGAGTGAGAGCGGCACGTCTTTGAGGACAGGACTTCTCGGCTAGAAATGCGGCGGCAATGTGATTTGGAAGGCTTGTGTGAGATGCTGAGGGTGAACGGCGAGTTTAGGTGGACTAGACACTATGCTGAGAAGGGTAGTTCTATTTGTTAGCAATCTTATTTCGCGCGCGCACAGATGTTCACCGCTTGTGTGCACACATCCCCGTTTAATCATTTCCCCATATGATCTTATTAGCCTATTCTGGGCTCACCCAAGTTTGTCATTGAGATGGGACAATATTATATCCAACGCTAGGAATTGTCACAATAGACATTGTCTTATGGGCAGAAGTTTATGGGTGTTGATGTTTTGTCACGTGCAAGTGCTTCCTTTATAAACTCAAAAATCCCTCAGCTTTTCGGATTGGGGACTTCGCTTCTGTGCGACTTTGATCTATGCCAAGAGTTGGAGAATCCCGCCCGTAGAAATATTGCGTTGACCTGCCCGGTAGGTCTATTTCTCCGCGTGTTGTCACTGACAGTGGCCGAACCATCGAGAACCACAACTTTTACGCATTCTTCTGGGAGATCCAGGCCGAATCCTAAAGGAGCTTCATTGATATGCGATGTTGTATTCCGCGATCAAGCCTGGATACAATTTGTGATTTCCAACGCGGTGCGAGCTGGTTCCCCGTACGACATACTTGTTCAATGTGTACTCCAAATTTTCCCGGCGCCAAGGATTCCGAAGCTAAAGGAGTTGCTAAACGGATGTCATGCTTTTCCATATAGGTGTCAATGAGTCTCAGAGACATTGCGCTCATCAGTGTGACTTGCGCTACGACAAAGTAGGCATCAACAGCATAAGATCCCAAGAAGCTTGCTGTGACGGAGCTGCAACCCTAAGCTGAGGAAGACGGGATAACTGATAGGTCTCGGAGCCTAGGTATTTTTGGGGGAGAAATCCAACCATACTCATTTCCACTCAGATGAGAACATTTATCATTCCAGTACATGCTATTGGGTTCGGGCCGCAAGGACTCATCGCGGCCTTCCACATGATCGAATCCACCACCTCTTCGACCACTCCTTCAGCGACAGGATCCGTCGATGACCTCGTTGGCTCGATTCAAGGCTTCGCAGCTGCGGGGAATTGAGACTCGGAATGGTTCGGCCAGCGTCACCATTGCTTCGACAGCGGCCCCCACCCTAGCTTGTACGCAATACTTCTACTACTCTGACGACAGCTCGAACTCATTCTTGTGCCAATGCAATGATGGCACCTGGAAGCACGCTAAAAGCTCCACGTCATACACAGAATACCTAAGCTAGACCAAAACCGTCTGCCTGACAGCAGCCACCCCCTCCAGCTACCGTCCTTTGAAAATTGTCACGCGCCCTCGTCGTATTCGCACTCAAAAAACCTAATGTGCCATTCTGCGAGTGTCTCAATGACCTGTTTTTCCTCAACTCATGCCCCAGCTCAATATCGGCGACTACAACAACACTGACTCAGAGCGAGTCCAATACCAGTTTCACATCTGCTCACACCCCAACTTCCGACTCCTCCTTCTCCGTCCCCGCCTGTATCTACCATCACAACTGCTTGCGTACCACGATGCACCAAATCTCCTGGTCAAAGTGAAAAACACGGTCACAGCTCCTTGCCACCTGCCTCTGTAAATCCTACGTGTGGGGCCGTTGCGCACCCGAAGCCAAACGCTGACATTATATGTCCGAATCAGGTGAGTTAGATACTTCTTCCCAGTCCAGTCAGGATGAGACTTTTTCAAAATGGGTTGGATGCGAAAGAAAGAGCAGGGTTGTGCAAAAATGCGAGCGGAGATGAGTATGTTAGGGAAATTGGTAGGAGTGACAGAGGAGGACTTTTCAGGCCACAACTACTTGCTAAGCTTGTTTATTATCCATTGAAGATTGTCACTTGAGGGAGAACATGCATCAGGGTGGACCAATAACGTAAAACATCAAGTGTTTTTTTTGGTTACCAAAGGCTACAAAAAGATAACCCATTCACAGCTCTTGCCAGCCGAATTGAGTCGGCAATCCACCCCCCTCCTAGTCAATCTAGCTGAAGACTTTCCAGAAGGTCTCATATCTTCCAGCCATCGTGCCAGGTTTTTGCGATATGGCATATCATCCTCATACAAGCCGTCCGAAACTGCGACGGAATCAGACCGCAGCGTCTGTGAGCAAGAGCTAGAGGCGCAAATTGAGTGCGCTTTGAAGGAATTCGAAACAGTCCTCGAAGAGCGTGGAACACGCCCATAGGACGAACTCGGGGCTCTTTCTTCGAATGGAGCAGTGTTCTTGGCTGTCAGGGCATGGATATCTGCCAGTGTCCCTCTAGCATCTAGCAGACCGTCTATCTCGGTGAGTTGCGAATCAAAAACACGTCGCTGAGAACATTGCTGCGCCAGGTTTTCTTTCGCCATCAGTAGCGTCTCAATGAGATCATACTGGGGGCCGAATGGCTTGGATCTGAGGACTTGCCTGTCCTGAGAAAGGGCTGGGTCTGTATTGGCTGACATGCAATTCTCGATTGAGTTCCTAGGTGGCCGTGGTGTGACGAGAAGTGTGCTGAGTCGGCCGCAGTTGAAGCAGATGTCTCCTGGCATGACTGTGGAGCAGGAGCAGCATTGGGAGTTGCGGTGGAGGTAAGGGTAGACGAGAAGAGGTTCAGGCGAAAAGCGAACATTCGGAGTCATTGTTGTGAAGATTGGTTGGAGTGGTGGCTCTGGGATAGTGTGTGGTCGGTTGATGTATTGGACCCTTTATTTTTTTTAATGTATCAGTGCTGCAATAAGCTGAGTGTAAGTTAATACTTCATGTTCATTTGAGGGAATGCTTGTACTTATGGGCGCCAGTGATGATTTCTGTTCCTTTGACTGCTACTCTTGAGCGTTTGGACAATGTGCCTTGTTTCTGCTGTTTTGTTTCAGAGCATAACAGCATTGAAGGAGGAAATAAAGAGTGCCTTATTTCTGCTCTTTGTTTCAGAGTATAACAGCCTTGACGGAAGAAGTAAAAAGTAAAAAGACATTGTCAGCCAGAGGATTCTCGTTGAAAATCGAACAATCCCTTTCGACTTCCATCTTGGAGTACAAAGGTACAAGACAAAAGGATTGTGGAACATTACTTCTTTCATGATCGAGACAACGTACAAAGAATCATCAGAGATCTAGGCAAAACCCACAATGTACAATGACACGAAGAACTTTCCAGATAAGCCTAGTGCCTCTGAGACCCGTCTCACTATAACAACCTTTACAGATTTTTTCTTTCCCTTCCACGTCCATTTTTCCATCAAAGTCTCGTCTCACATCTCCCAATCTCGACCTCCAACCGAAACACACCCACTTTCCACTCCCAGAACCTCCCCAACTCGCCAACATGGGCTGCGCCCCGTCCAAACCGGCCGTTCGTCGCTCCAGAGAGCCCGAAACCACCTTCCCACGCTACACCGGCCCTAAAGATTTCCGTGCCAGCGTGATGCCTGAGCGTGAGCGCTCCAGAGAGTCCGAAACCCCCTTGCCGCGCTACACAGGCCCGAAAGAATTCCGCGCCAGTGTGATGCCGGAGCGTAGGTCCGACCGTCAAGCAGCTCAGATGTATCAGACGTACCAGAGATTAGACAAGCAGCGCGGCATGCGTGCGGAAAGGCGCTATTCATGGGAGGGACACCCGTCGGAGAAGGTACTCACGACGTTTGATCAGCTGGCGGACCGCGGCATTATTCCTAAGAATGCGTTGAAGAGGAAGTAGGCTTACCGGCTCTTGAAAAAGTTGTTTTCCCAGTGCTAGGGAGGAGTGCTTGGGCGTTTGTCTGGATTCGGCGGTCCATGCAAGAATTTATACTAGTCAGTACTAATGAGCAAGCGTTTTGTTAATTCATTCACTTGCAAAGTCCGCAGTGTAAGTATAGTCAAATAATAACTCGCTCTTATAATTGAATGTCTCTCGTATATAATTAAGTTAAAGTAGAAATGTTACAAAGTCGAGACAACTGTCTCCTCCATGCCGCGAGCTTACTCTGGTAACGCGTCAAAGATAGGATCCATTTATCAAATTTCAGCCTCCCTGGGCTCGGGGGGAGTGCTTGGGCGTTTATCTGAATTCGGCGGTCTATACAAGAATTTATACTAATTAATACTAATGAGCAAGCGTTTTGTTAATTCATTCACTTGCAAAGTCCGCAGTGTAAGTATAGTTAAATAATGGCTCGCTCTCGTAATTGAACGTCTCTCGCATACAACCAAGCCAGAGCAGAAATGTTACAAAGTCGAGACAACTGTCTCCTCCATGCCGCGAGCTTACTCTGGTAACGCGTCAAAGATAGGATCCATTTGTCAAATTTCAGCCTCCCTGGGCGATTAGCCTCCGTCATCTCCATCTCTATGCCATAGTCAAGGGAGTCTTCTGGCGCTAGGGTTCCAAAAAATGCCTGTTGAGGCCTCTATCTTGCTTGATCAGGCTTGCTATCCCAGGCGTAAGACAGCCTTACCACTCATTTGTATCCTATGTGGGCACTATTTGTGCATGTGATGCGTATTGTTCATGAACGAGATCACTATATGGTTAATCTATTGTGTACCCAACCCCTCCGGAAAAAGGCTCCAGCCTTGAAGCGATACTGCTAAACCATCCACCTGGCTGACGCAAAGAAGAGAACGCCATAGACCACAATCCACCAGCTATGGACCCTCTCTTTTCGATCTGCATTCACTGCCCATCGAGCTCTCCTACATACGAAGGAACTCCTGCCACTAAAGTCTCAAGTGTGCCTGGACTATGTCTTCGATGGCTCCATCTGCTTTTGAAGCACTAGGTCATAAATGGAACGATACTGCGAAGACGTTCTTTACCAAATTGAATGCTAGCAAAAACAAGGCGACGTTCATAGGAAAAGCTGTGGGGGGCAATTGAGTGCTTGTACATAAATTTAGAATCGAAAATTCAGCATACTTTCTTGTAGTTGGAGTTTTGATCATTATAAAAAATAAATTTTCAGCGCCAGTGTGTCAAAGGCAAGCCCAGCAAGAGAGGACACAAAAACGCCGTGGATACTATCTCTTCTGCTATGTCCAGACCCCTACTCTTGTCCAACATAACTCTTCCTTGCCCCTTTTCGGACTGGTCTTCTAGGCAAGGAGACCCGTTCCACGCTCTGTCTAACCTCGTAACCTTGCGCTTCTGCGAATCCCTCGGTATCTTCAATCTCTTTCAGCAAGGTCTGCATCTTTCGGTTGGGAGCCTTGCCCGTAGCACCGGGGCTGTTTGCGTGCCGACGGACCCATTGCTTTCTCTGCTGTTCGCGAGGTCTAGACTCCTGCTCCTGTTCATAGTGCCATTGGGAATTCTCCTTGAGGACTGAATGGTGCGGTAGAAGTGTGGAGGGGCATTTTTGCGCGCCAGCAGTGGGACGCAGGATTGGAGATGGAGGGGCTGATGAGAGACCTGAAGAATCGCTATCGTAAGTCTCATCGTTAGGATCATCCTCAGACTCTTCGTCCGGTTCGTCATCAGGATCGATCTCAGACTTGTCATCCCATTCACCCTCAGACTCGTCATCCTTTGCAACGGTCGAGAATGGGTTTCGCCGAGCGGTCCGCGTTCGCTTTCTCACTGGCTCGTCGTCATCATCGGAACCATCATCCATCGCAACGGTGGACAATGGTTCGACCTCAGCAGTTTTGGCTCGCTTTGGGGCTGACTCGGAATCATGTTCGTTGGCATCGAGGGCACGCTTCTTGGTCGGAGTCAATGCCAAATCTTCAGCATTTGGCGCATCTTGGTCAGTAATTGGAGGGATTGGGCGATACACTCCGTTCGACAATTGTTGCGGAGGAGACAAACCATTGTTTCGCGCCATAACTAAAGATGGCTCAATCGAAGAAATCTCCATACTTGGTTGCGACACCTGCGAGTAACCATACTGAGTAGGAATACTGCGCTGCGAATATGGATCGCTAGGCAGAGGGCCAACCTGTTGCTGCATAGGAAAGTAAAGCATGGGTGGTACGTTTGGCTGGGTACATATTTGGAGAATTTGTGAGGCGTACGTTTTATTGAGATGTTCTTGAAGCCGTGGAGAAGCCGGAACCCACCTTGAAGGTTCCCGCTGAGTTTCTGGGGCAGAAATTACCCTCCTTGATGGCTTTTGCACAACCTCTGGCGCAGCAGTCGACCGCTCATTAGCTTTCTCCTGCATGGGGAATGATACCGGACTTGAAGGATGGCATGGTATCTCTAGAGTAGCCGGGTCAACAGTAGGATTGAACGCGGTCGATTCGAAGACAGTAGAGCCGTCGAGCGGAGAATGCGTCTCAATCGTTGTCTGGAAAGCGTCAGTCATGCCCAAATGTTCTGTGGCAGGGTTCAGGGCAGTAGAATCACCAAACGCAGCATTGGTTTCGATGGGATTGTCGAATGCGGCAATAGTTCTGGACTTCCATGGGCCTGACTGAGTAGGAAAGCCAACGGCCGAAATGGGACCTGTGGTTGGAGCCTGGAGAGCGTTAAGTACGCCGTCGTCTTCTGAAGCTGCTTGAGTGGCATTGAAGCCAGCATCCAATGCATTGCTGCCGTCGGGGAGCTGAAAAATGCCAGCGAAGTCTGCATCAACCGCGTCAATAATACTAGCGTAAGGGTCGCAAATACTCAGTCTCTGAAGAGGCTCGACCACTGAAGTCTCTGAAGAAACATCGACGCTCTGTCGGATGGCCTCGACGTCAAAGTCGAAGTCAACGTAGTCGGAGATGTTGAAGGGCGTCTCAAAGGTCTGAGCTGGACCGTTAGAATTCATCTTGCTGTTCGCAATTGCGTGAAGTAGGGGTTTTACCGAAGGCTCGAGTGAAGGATGTTATTGTGCTTGCGAGCCGACTTGGTGGTTGAGAATGCCGAGGAGACCTGGAGTTTAAATATTGGCGCACGGAGCTACTTGTATGCAATGGACGAGGAGTTTCGAAAGGCCATTATTAGCACTTCAACCACGGTACCTCCTTTGTTGGTCCCGGCGGCCAAGACACCGTGAAGCGAATCTCATGAAAGGCTATTGTTGCGATTCGTGCATTGTGTCGTGTTTCTTTGGTCTAAAAGCTGTGGAATCTTTGTTTGAATCACATTGTTCCACATAGCAATTCTATGTTTTCAACGACTGGAGGTCGAGAAGAATGGGTTTCTAGAAGGCAAAGGATTTCAAGAGTAATGCAAAGACGTCGTGGCGTTTCCTGTCTCCCTCTCCTTCGGCTACCATCTCCGCCCGAAACTTAAGGTGCGACTGGAAAGTGGTGGTCAGACGAGACTATATCAAGGATAGTTCGTGGCTAAACCACAATAATGATGGCCAAAACCACGCCCACCTTGCATTGCATCCTCCTGTGTACTCCCTTTGTTCCAATGCCAAAGTCCTTGCGAGTGTGTACGCTAGCTTAGACGGGCAATCCCTACTCCATCATATATCATTCGTTTATGTATTCGGCGTACCTCGGTGAGCCGCGTGCCGCAGATCTAGGCGAGAAGTATGAGCGACGATCTATAAAACAGTCAAGGCCGTCACCGTTGGTACGCTTTGGGGTCTGCGTCTCGTGGGGTTGCCCCTCGAAGGGCGCAGTGGCCCTCATATCTATGATTGCGTGCTCTGCCGCTGAGCCAACAAGCAAACGGATATTCCACGCATTGTAGTTGGGTGTGGACGTAGAGGAGTCCAAGCACGGACTATTTACCCGGGCTACTTGCCACTCTGGCGTTTGAGCAACGTATGCTTGGCTGTGGAAGGAGGTAGGTCGAACGGAGGTATGATGAGCATCGAAGACAGTTGACTGGGATTGATTTTCAGGAAATGGCGTCTCGATGCTCTCGTGCGCGATGCTGCATCGTCAGCAGCTCTTCATAGCACGATTTCGTTGAGGTCACCAGGGTAGCGTACTCCGCTCCGAACACGAATTTGGTCTCGATACGTGGTCCGTCTTGAGCCAGTGTGGGTTCCTGCACACTGCATGTAGAATTTTGGGTTCTTTTCCTCATGAAGAGCCGAACGGAGTTGCTTGTATGCTGGTCCGACCTACAAGGCATCGTTAAGTTCCTCAAACCTGGGCCCTTGACCATGCGTGTCCACTTGGGCATCATTCCCTCCACATCCACGTTCGTGACCTCACGGCTAGCTCGACTGCGGCAATGTATACCGGCTTCCCGCTTCGTCATGCTGCAGTGGTCCGTGTAGCGCAACGCTTGCGAACTTCCATTCTTCGATACGCAGTCCGAGAAATAATCTTTGGCGGACTTCGGTCGCGTAGACCATAAGCTCTGCTTTCTGTGTGGGTAAGGTTCGCATGCCTTTCGTCCGCAGGAATGTTGTAGAGCTACTCGTTTGGTACGTGATTTGAAAAGCAAATCGGTTCCAGCGAACCGGATTCTGGACCTTCTTGATTGGCTTGTAGACCTTCTAGGGCCTGTATGTCTGAAAGTTGAGCATCGATCGGTACAGCTTGTACTGATGTGGCACCGGTATTGACGGGCAAAAAGGACTGCAAATGGCCATCGTGTACTCTTCTCAGGGTATAGTAAGCCAACTCATAGCCATCTAGAAGGAGAATCTCCACTGTCAAAGCGTCAATAGATGTCTTGTAAGACTGGTCCTGCACAAGACTCACTGTCAGCTCTTTCCCAAAGCGCCCCACTCTCCTCGTCAACACTCACGCGCTGCTGATGGGCTCCGGCCATCTTCAGAGCCAATTTGTCGGTCTTGATACTGTACCGACTGAATCATAGGCTACCATGAGCTAGATTGTAGGTGTTCTTGTCGCGGGGTGTGATGTGTAGACCATTGAAAGAACTTCCATTGTGTTTGTACCTCCCGACAATCTGGATAAACCACTTGCTAACGGGTCATCGTGTGCCTAGTGAGCTAGAGTGGCGGATCAATGCAAGAAACATGAGCAATTTGCTCTGGGTGCCACAAGGAGAGGTTGTATAGTCTCTATCGTCAGAAACAAGCAATGCTTGATTGTCTTCCTCCCTCACACATCATCTCGCGGGGTTTTGCATACCCATTTTGAGGTGACGAGAAGTGACTCGGGTGATACAAATCGTGACCGCCAACAGCGGAGGCCCGTTCAGTTCCGAGCTTCATATCACCATCTCATCCACTACTACCAATGGTGTTATTGAAATTAAAATCCTCTACTCAATTTCTAGCCATTGGGCATTGCAAAAGGGCGGCAAGGTTGAACTCAAAGTGTGAGTTGATGATTTATTGGATTATGGGATCATGTCGAACTTGATTACGATGCTAGAGTAGAACCGAAGGAAGGATGTAAGCATTGATACAGCTATAACTTACTAATTGTCTAGGGAGAAGTCGGTGATTGCTATTCGATGCAAACATTTGTGCGGTCTGAGTCACCTTCATCCCGCGATAAGCCGCTTGGTCGGAGAAGGAAGCAATTGGCGCACGAAGGTGCGTTCACTGCATTGCATTGCATACAGGCGCAAGCATTTTTTCGCACAGGCGACTGCGTTGGTCTCAATTGTCCTTCCCGCTTTTCAGGGGCGTTAATTATTTTTCCTTTTGACGGACCTTACTGCTCTCTTTCTTCAAAATCCCAGTGGCTCGTTGAGCCAACGCAGAGATCGTTCGAGGGCTGGCAAAGAATGTCCACTTTCCTTCAATTCCTTTTCCTCCCTCTCTTCTTCCTCGTCCCCTGTTCCATCGGACTACTCATCCCGGAGGCATCTGCAAAGTCGTCCTTAACCATGTTTGGAAACCACTGCACGCGTCGATACAGCCTCATCTCCTCGGTGCCCAACTACAACGACTGCCTTCGCGCAATCAACCATCTACCCACTCGGCCCCGTTGGGAAGAAGGCCCTTTCCACAACGGACCGCCCGAAGATCCATATCAGCTACCAGTGACCAAGGTTCATAACACTTGTCAAGTCAATGTAGAACTTCATGCCGGAAGGGCAGTTTCCAAAGCATCATGGGTAGGGGTGAAAGGCAAAGCTTGGTTGTTGAACCAGGAATGTCTAAAGACCATGAGTGGGTTGCCTCAGCTTTACTCTGGAGGGTGGACAAGCTGGGGGAGGCATGAGAGGATTGTGGTTACTTTGGCGTATCCGGATGAGCTGGGTGAAATGGGAAGGAACAATGTGACAGCGTCATAACACTCTCTATGAGCTCAGCAAGACAATTGTGGGTTCAAAGTTCCTGCTCTTTAGGAAACATCAGTTCATGGCACAAATCAGATGATAGATGATGGTTCTTACAGTTTTCTTTTCGAAAAGAGCCAACAAAGGCTCTACTGTAGCACGTGATTTTCAATCCGATCCTTGATGGGATGACGCATCATACGGACGCGACGCCTACTCAACTCCGATCCGCCCGAGATCCCGACATGTTGACATCATAGCGCGCCAGAGAGTCTCGCATCTTCTCGGTCTCTACTCTGTATCACGTCTGCATCTTTTCTTTCTGTTCCTTCATATTAATTCTTCAATCTGACATAGGAGTGCTTTTGACTCAAAGCGCCATGGTAAGCGACGGGGAGAAGCAGCTGGGCCTGAGTTACGGTCAAGACACGCTGCAGACATCTCCAGATGCAAGCGACAAAGGCGATGTGGAACATCTTAGCAAACCGGACTCGAAGCTCGCTCTGTCAGAAGAAGAGGCTTTGGCACGATCCAGGGCAGATCCTGAGGGTATGCTCCCAATATATCTGACCTTTGCGCCGAATGATAGAGATAATCCTCGCAATTGGGCGAAACGGAGGAAATGGTACATCACCTGCTTCGCCAGTATGCTAAATGTCGTCACGTATGCAACGAATTCTCTCTTCTCAATGCTAGTTTTCCGCTGATTGTTTTCGGGAAGATGTCTGTGCGCCGGTAGTATCTCATCAGGAGCTATGGAAATACAAAAGGAGTTCCTTGTTTCTGCCGAAATCACCACGCTCGCTCTGTCGCTCTACGTTCTAGGCCTTGCCGTTGGACCGGTTCTCCTTGCACCGTTGTCTGAATATTTCGGCCGTCAGCCCGTCTACATGGTCTCCTGGTTTATTCACTTCATATTCCAACTCCCAGTGGCCCTAGCTCCCAACATCGGCACCATCCTCGTATGCAGATTCATCGGCGGCTTTGCAGGAGGAGCACCATTGACCAATACCGGAGGTACCATAAGCGACTTGTGGAGGCGAAACGACTCTGGTGGTCCAATGGCGGTGTACGGTCTCAGCTCGACATTCGGACCTCCTTTGGCGCTTGTGATGAGCGGGTACATCGGCCTCAACTCCGGCTGGCGCTGGATATTCTGGGTACTTATGGCCATCACCGGCGCCTTTTGGGTCCTGCTCGTCTTTACAATCCCCGAAACTCGGCACACTATCATTCTACAAAAGAAGACCAAACGTGTACGCAAAGCCATGAGAAAAGAGGGTCTGAAAGCCGCAGATTCTATCACCGATGCCAACGCCGATGAGCGAAAAGGGCTGCACCAGCTCTTCGCCATCACACTTACCCGACCATTCCACTTCCTCTTCACCGAACCCATCACATTCTTCGCCGCAATTTACAATGGATTCCTGTACGGCCTCGTCTACCTATTCAACGAAGCATTTCCTCTCGTCTTCGGTCCTGGAAAAGGCCATGGGTTCAATGGCGGGGAACAAGGTCTTGCATTCCTTGGCCTTTGCATCGGACCTATCATCGCGTTTCTGTTCTACCCTCTTCAAGAACGCTACTACTTGCGGCGAGTGGCCGAGAATGACGGCAAAGGTGTCCCCGAAGCACGGATGTGGATGGCCCGTCTTGGCGCTATGTTCATTCCAGTCAGTCTATTCTGGTTTGGCTGGACAAGCTACCCCAGCGTGCACTGGATCGTGCCAGTTATTGCATCTGCGATGTTCGGTGCGGGGATCTACATTATCATCTTGAGTATCTTGAACTATGTCGTCGACAGCTACCAGACTTATTCCGCATCTGCGCTCGCAGGTGTGATCTTGGTACGCAACATTGTGGGCGCTGGATTCCCGTTGTTCGCGACGCAAATGTACAACAAACTCGACTACGAGTGGGCGTCTTCGTTGCTGGGATTTATCGCAATTCTGCTGGTGCCGATCCCCTTCATCTTTTTCTACAGAGGCGAGACCATCAGGCTGAGAAGTCCGTGGGCGAGAGAGCATTTCAATCAAGATGAAGACAGCCCTCATTAGCAACGGGTCTATTGAAGTTGTATATAAGTTGAAGAAGCAAGATGCAAATCTAAAATTCCCGTCATCCTTCTCCATCCTCGCCTTCTTACTAACAAATTCATGGTGGGAGAGCCGCTGAACGCGAACGAGGATCGTTGATTCCAGAGTAAGACTGCAAGTACAGAGCCTCCATCACAGCCAAATACTGCTACCAACATAGACAGTCTAGACGGCAACATTCCACGTACGATACGGAAGTGTACAATCGAAAAAGCATAGCTCACCATCTCCACAAATCCCAACCTCAATCCTCCCACTCCACCGCACACCTAAAACAGTCTTTCTCCTTCTCCGTCATCGCCTCTTTTCCCACCACATCCACATCCCCTTGATCGACCGCTTCAAAATCGCTCCTCAGCGCGCGTCCCGCTTCACCGGGCGATTTGAGAGGAAGCAGCTCGAAATGTTGATCCCGTCTTCTCCTATGGCCGATGATCCGCAGTACATCACCTCTTTTAAAGTACGGCTTACTACCTGCATCTGAATCCTTCATCGCGCGGACGAAACTCGCTTCCGAAATCGGCACTGCCGGCTTCTTGTACGAAGGCCCCGGCTTGTCCGTCCAGTGCTCTTCGTCGACATCGAGTCCTTCGATCGCTGTATTCCACTCATCCTCATCGTAAGACTCCCACTCGGGCGATCTGGGACTGGGGTGCGGCTGAGATGGGTCGGATCCGCGATGCACTGATTAAATTCTCAGCTCAACCACCCGTCACACCAAAACCATCCCATAAGAACCGACCTTGAGCTCCACCACGATCGGCCTCAGCCTTCAGCGCCTCCTTCTCCTTCATCTCCCTCACCAAGTCAACCGGATCGATAGCCGCCTCCCACATCTCCACCACGTCCTCCATCGAAAGCCCCGCCCGGACCATCTTCCGCGCCATCCCGAAGACCTCCTCGTTCTGCCAGAGCACGCTTGCCTCGGCCTCCCCTAGAGTGCTCGTTTTCGGAATCTTCCTCCGAGGGCCTTTGGAGTCCTCGTCCAAACCCATTGACATTTCCATCGCCAACTGCAGCGATTCGGAATCCTCCGTGTCACTCAGTCGGTCTGCCGTCTCACGCGGCGAAGCATATCCCAGATCGGGTTGACGCACTGTCTGCCTTTGGCGAGATTCATCGTCGCCATCGTCGTTATTAGAGGCCGGGCTAGCGTCAAGTATTTCCAAATTGCTTCCATAGGGGTCCTCCTCATGCTTAGAATGACGGTTTGGCATGTTTCCAACAGGTTGAGTATCTGAAGTGCCGAAAAACAGAGCGAAGAAGGATTAGGTGTCAGGGTCTTCACACATATGCAAAAAGGTGTGGGGGAAGAAGACGATGATAATTCTACGTGGAGTAGTGATATGTTCTCAGGTCTCGGAATTTCATCCCTCTTCCGACGGTAAAGGAACGCAGCCCTTGCCTGGCTCGGGCAACTCACGAAAACAAGGGTTACTGGCTGATTGGCCTTGACAGAGTACCCCGAAGTAGCAGTTAGAGGCAGCGGATGATGCATGACTATGTCAGAGCCGTCCCAGGCACCCGATATCCGAAATTCAAGTGCACAGCATCGTCATTCGTCCGCATTTTGCAGATCTCCCACACAAAATAGCAAGAGCAAGTATCTCTCCTGCTGCATTTCTAGTTGGATGTTGTCGGAGCGAGTTCTCCTCTTCTGGAATACTCTTAGTTTTTAAAAAAAAAAAAGCTCGTGATTTTATTTTTTTGTGTGGTCTGGGTGCTCGGTTTGGGGTTTGTTTGGGCGCGGGTTTTCTTTTAGCTGTGTCGCCAGAGAGGGATTTGTTGTGGGGGGTGGGGGTTTTTTTTTTTTTTTTTGGGGGTCAGCGCATCGCAGAAAAAGGCTATTGCTAAAGATATTTTGGAGGGTTTTTGCTTGACGTAGGAATGCGAGGGACTTCAGGGGCAGTCTCAGCCGAGCTCGCAGCCGTTTCTTCTCCAAAAAGATTTACAGCAGACTTGACCTTTCGTAGGAATTGTTTGCCTTCCGCGCGCATGTCCTTACCCTCCACTGTGCTTGGCTTAGAGTATTCTCCAGTCGATTTCATATTGGTGACTGATATTCTTGGCCAATGACGACTCGGCTTTTCCTCTGCGGCGGCGCCAGGCATTTTTGGCTTAGCTTTGGCCTTTGGGTAGTTGGTGTTTGAACGCTCCGTCTCCTCGTCGATGACATCGTATACATCATCTGTATGTTCGACCGGCTGCCGTGCCTGTTTTCGTTCCTGTTCTTCCCGCTCATTTGGATGAGACCACCATTTTCCCTTCTGCTTCTGTCGCTCTTGTCCCTTTGAACGTTGTTCTAATGGGCGATGAGGTTCGTACATGACTCTGTGAATCGAAGCATTAAAGGATACTTTCCCCAGGTTAGCTCATGCAATTCTAGCTGCGAAGATTTCGACGTGTATTGAATTGTGAGAAATGTTGTAGGTTTGAAGATGCAGAACACACAAACAATCAGAAGAAAGATCTTCGTAATGCCATAAAAAAGGAGTTTCCGTAAAGTCCGGGAGCCGATTTCGTCCATTGTTCAGGCAGTAACAGACAACCAATTACGGAGCCCAAGGCTGGGCGCTTGGGTCACCGTCAGTGGCGAGATCGAGGTTATGCTGAGCAGCTGACCATGGATCGAAATTTCCGAGCTGCTGGAAACTAGAAGGCGTGTGCCGAAGCAGACCATGGTTTTGAGAAAAAACGCAAGGGATTTTGTTCGATTGAATTTTTTTTCGATAGATATAGATGTACTTTAGTAATGGTGTCTCCTGCAACAAGGTCGCAATTTTTTCGGTAGGAAAAGGCGGCCTAGAGTACCTGCTATGTAGCCTATGGTAGTCATAGAGAACACCGGTATATGAAACCCTGTACAAATTGCAAGTTTCTATCGATGAGCTCAATCCATTACCCAGAGTGAAAGCAGGACGGTACATTACCATAAAACATCCCTCCCACCTCGAACAGGCGGTGGTTACAGATGAAGGTCAGTGCTCATTTCGATGAACCTGCACACGCTCTCAGTCCCTCTAAGGCTCTCCAAACCATGAAAGTATGCTCTTGCCATTTCTAATAAGTCATTGCTCGAGGTCGCGCATCGTAGGTTTGTTAATATCGAAAACGCGGTTGGGTTCTCCGGAGGCGGTTGGAGGAAGCCGTCGAAAGCACAATCATCACTAAGGCACCACGTAGGAGCATCGCATACATGAACGTGAGTCTCATCTTTCGGACGCGCTACAAGAATTTTCATTGCTATTTCGCTAGCGCATGCCGATGCATAAACTTCTGGGCAGGTCTTGGTGCCTCGGTGGCATATAACGCTACTCTCTTTGAAGCTAGTGCAATGTGGGTAAACTGATCATTCGTTGACACTTGTGGCACTGTTTCACAAGTGGAAGGCAGCCAATTCCCAGACTGGAGGTGGGGGAAAAGGGGGGCAGGTTAGAGGTATTTAATTCGTAATAAATTCGTTTCCTATTGGCGCTGGTACAATGGTGTTGCGGTGTTCCTTATTTTCTGGGGCTCGCGGGCCCTTGAAGACGCCTCATTGGGAGAGTCATCCTTCGTCAACAAAATTTCTTCACTTTCTGCTCTCTCCATCCTTTTCTCCCCCCCATCTTCCTCAACCCCAAACCTTCGACGCTGTCTGTCTTTCACCAAGTGTACCAATTTAATCATATGCATCACCCAGGCTCATACGAGCAGCTCGTTCACCATGTCTCTACCATCTGAGACGTTGTCGCAGATATTCAGCCTTCTGCCGAAGAGCTCGTTGAAGGCGATACGACTAGCCTGCAAAATCTTTTACGACACGGCGACACCATTACTCTTTGACAGCATCTTCGTCTCAGCCCGCCATTCAGATCGCGAAATCACCGACTTGGTCGCTACGAGATTCCCCAATTCTATCAAAACGCTCACTTTTTCGACGGAATGTTATTTCGATATGACATGGCCGGAGTTCTCTTCCCAAATAGACATCCTACCAAGAACCTCAAAATGTCAAAATCCCACCGTTCATCTCAAACAGGCTAAACGTTGCTGGGAACTACACTGCAAGCTTGGATTGGAGCGGCAGAGACTGTACGAGAGCGGCGCCGTGCATGTGCAGCTTTGCCATCTTTTGAATACGTTGCCCAGCCTTTGCCGGATCGTCATCACAGACAGGAGACGTCGACAAGATCTCTCATGGCTTCAAGAGGCTTTGATGGGCGAAATACTACAACGTCTTCCTCCACCGGCAACTCGTATATTTACGTCTTGTACAGTCCGCCATGCCTTGGCTGATCTGCAGTTATTGCGCGAACAAACTCCAACTCATTCTCCTAGGAGCTACAGAGATTTCTGGAAGTGGCTTCGATCAAGTCTTAAGAGCGAAGATGCACAAGCTCTAGCACAGATGCAGGCAGTTCATTCTGTCGGCTGCGACCACTTTGCTCAGGAGCCACCGTATCCCGGGCTCTGTGAGGCAGGGTCGCAGCACATGCCGCAGAACCCATGGGCGGAGATCATGACAGCATTGCACAATTCTTCGAATGTCTCAGTTCACACGATCTCCATTGAGCCAAGGGACGCCAATTGCGGTCTACCCTTTGTAGCAGTCCAGGCCTGTGGCCCTCACATGTTCCTCTCAACCACCAGGGTACTGGCACACTTGACGAAGTTGGAGCTGTGCATGGACAATGCTGTGAATTTCGTGAAACCAAAAAAGTTTGCGCTCTTGAAGATGTCTCAGGCGTTACAACATCCCACCAAGATGTTGTCCGCGGCCTCCAACCTACAGTCTCTCACCCTTGGCTTCGTACGTGCCGGACGGCCCTCTGACTTATACGGAACGTCCGAGGAGTTCCGCACCGGCTTCGGGATGCTACTAGGCGGCTGCCAGCTACCCCTGCTCTCCACGCTGCGCCTTCGGAATATCACGTTCTGGGAAGACGATTTCTGTGCCTTCCTCCGAAGCTCGCCAGACCTACGCGACCTATCTCTACAAGGCTTCTTCATGGAGGAGCAAGGGTTGTTTCGGGGGCTCCCATACGCGCATCCCCGAGCCTGGGAGCGCCTAATGGATACCATGAAGGATACTTTGCACCGCTTAGATAGCTTCCACATAAGCGAAAGGCAGCTCTGTAGAATTGAGCATAGAGCCGAGCGGTTGGGGGCGATGCCAGGTTTTGATGCGATGCCAGGTTTCCATGTGATGGTTCAAGACTTCCTGTTCAGTGAGGGTATCAATCCTTATGCGGGAATGGTAGGGTAAAGTTCTACGGAAGACGGTGAACGATGACAGCAGCTCCGGCTGGCCCCTAAAGCCCCTGCTGGCTATGCCACTCCAGCCTAGTCTCTCACGCAATATTTGCACAACAACAGCGGTGGAGGAGGAGCAACGAATTCAACAAAGACGATGTAAATGTGGAGCATGCAACAAGTGTACAATTTACAACAGCGTCCAAAAGCTCTTATGGAGCCAGACAAACTCCTCAGACGTCCCGTTCCACAACCATTTGAGCACGTTGTAGTGACAAAAAAATACTTGAGCCAAAGGCTCTTATAAAGCCAGAGCGACTCCTCCAATGTGTCGTTCCGAAACCCCTTGAGCATGCTACAGTGACGAAAAAATCCCCGAACCTCTTCGCTAGCGCTTGTATGAAACCTTGATGATTTCTCTCCCCCTGAAACAAATAACACTAAATCACAAGCGCACACATAGGACCTACGTAACCCATTGACTTGCGCCGCCTCAACGCCCGGGGTCAGCAGCGCCTGAACAGACATAGGTATACCGTACTCCACTGCCAAGAAACAGCATCCCCTGCCTGTACGGCATAGACCTCGAGTAGAGTAGTAATAGCTATATACATGTTGCATCTCATTCATGGATACCTGACCCCCATGGATAGTATGGTTATCCATGGGGAGTATACTTCCTCATGGGGGCGTATCGCACATCTCATGGGCACATACCCACCACACGCATGGACCTTCCCATGGACCTCGCCGTCGCCCACGGATAAACATCTTGTTCATGGGGACAAAAAACCGCCCATAGATCCCATGTTGTCGCCACATCCGTCCAGCACTATCTGAGGCTATATCCACTTGATCGTTTCCCTCTGTGTCTATAACCTAGACAGCCTCTTTAAGCCTCTGTTTGAGCCCGAGTTATCGGTCAGCGGGCTGTATTGTGGCCGAGGTATTCCAGTGACCGAATGACCACTATCAGACTATATCATTACCAACTTTAGCCTACACATCCTAGCCGGATCATTCCGAAAGCCGAGTTATATCTCGGCCTCTATGTGTAAATGAGGTTACATCTTTCAACTGGGGACTCTGACCATTCAAAACATCTCATCAATGAATTTCAACACTCAGCCGGGTTTTAGAGTACGTGAGCAAGTAGAGAAGGATACTAAGCGACAGCGATATAACATCAAGGAACAATGGGCCATCCGCAAGGGCAATAACTTGATTTATCATGGATAGCGAGAAAGATAGCAAAGGAGGTAAAGAAAAGTCGAACAAGTAGCAATATTAGCAATCGATCTCCTATTCCCATGATCCAGATGTTATGTTCATAGGCGACGACGATGTCCACGGGAAGGTACATGCGATTGGTGTGGATTTGCCCGCGGGATGGGCGATACGCCTGCTTGAGGGAGTATACTCACCATGGTAAACCATACCATCCATAGGTGAGACATGGTATACATGGAGAAGTATACACCACCAATGACATGCGACATAGGGACGAAAGCGGGCGGGAATGCTAACGATGGCTCTGAAAGAGGTTTTGACATCGAATGATGAACGAAGAGCCACTTCCCAGTATACGTAGGATGGTTGTATGTAAGATCTTACCAACATCTCGCTGCTGACAGATATGCCCGATTTGCCACTGTGAGGGACGCGCTATATTTTATGAGACCCAGGGGAACACCCACCCGCTTTTATACAAATGTGATTAGATATAATTACACGGTTATCAATCTTCTCACCCCCTACAGCCGCCTCGACCCAAACGCCCTCCTCGCATACTGCAACGCGACATCCCCGCCACCGACCGCCTTCGTCTGCTGAGTCTTGGCATCCTGCGTGGGGGTCTGACACAGCCGCAGCGCCGCCGCGCTCTTGAGATCCAAGCAGAAGCTATTGCTGAAGCACGTGGCCCCGGAGCCGCAGATACCCCGACTGTTGCTCGAGCAAGTGCGGACGCACTGCCGCCTCGTCTGGCGGGCGCCGGCGGAGCAGACGGGGACGTTTGTGCAGGCGTAGCCGTTGCGGGTGCAGGCGGCGCAGGTGTCGAGGTTGAGGAGGGTGCCGTCGTCGACGAAGGTGCTGAGGTCGTGGGAGGCGGGGCCGGTGTTGGGGACGGAGCGAGGCGGGAGGGGGAGAGCGTTGGTGAGGTCGCGTTTGGCGTGTTGGATGCCTTTGAGTATGAGGTCAGCGACGCCGCCCGGGGTGGTGGGGGTTGGGATTTCGCTGGGTTTGGGGCTCGGGCCCGTCTCGTCGGTGCCGCTGACTGGGTCGGTTTCGTTGGCGGCGCCGTTGACGCAGAGTTCTGGATTCCTGAAGAATGCGTCGATGACGTAGTTCCAGAGGTTTTCAAAGTTATACACCGTCCACGTGGTGTAGAAGATTCTACAATCCGCGGCCTCGTAGCCGAAATGCAGAGGGAAGTCTTCCCCTTTTCGGATCGAGTCCTTGATATTGATCTGTGCATAATTGATGTAGAAGTCGATAAGGCTGCTGTCTTGCGGAAGCGGGGTGATGCTGGCGTTGAGGATTTGCGCGACTTCGATATCTGCGTCGAGATCAACATTGTAGTACGCTTGGGCACCGCGGCTGCCGCTCGCGAATTGCATTGGTCCAAGCTCGGGTCTTCCCCCAGCAACGACGGTGCGTGCTCCGCCTTGATGGTGCATGAGTTCGACAAAGGTGGCGCAGGATGAGGAACAAAAAGAGTCAGAGAGCAGAATTATTTGGTCGGCAGCAAATGGCTGAGGAGACGTCGCGGAACGGTTGCCATAGCCATAGATGACGATTCCAGATGAGGTGTCCGAGTCGTCGGAGGCGTTTTCGTCGAAGATGATGCTGGAAAGATTGTCACGTTGGATCGTGGTGAAAGTATCCCCGTGGTCGGGATGAGGGCCAAAGAACTCGGGCCATGATGAGAAATTGGCACCAGTGGCAGCATTGAGGTAGACAGACGCGACCCATATATCTGCTGACAAAGCCTCGTAGAATGTCTCGTTTATCTGCTGGGTGTTGTAGTAGGTCGTGAAGGTGTTGCCAAGGGCATCCCCAAAATCATTGGCGCGAAGCCGAGCTCCAGTGAAAGGGTCGATGGATGGAAAGAATTGTTTGAAAGCGTCAATTGCCAAAAGGTCGCTACCGCCTTGGTTTCTCTGCAGGTCGATGATTACCCTCGTGAGACCTGCTGCTTTGGTCTGGCTTATGAAGTTACCTATGGTGGTTGAGAAGGACAGAACTGCTTCACCAGTGACTTCAAAACTTGGGATGCTGAGGACTGCCGTTACACCATCATTGAGGAAATAGCCTGTCACAACGCCTCCGTTGTCCAGACCGAGGTTTGGTTGGGCAACGACCGGGTTTGAAGGAAATGGAGCGTATGACCAAGATGAAGGAGTAGCCGATGCACTTGGCGTTGGGGTAGGCGTGACAGTGGGACCATCGCCTGATGAAGCGTCAGTCGAAGATGTTGTCGCAGCGGCGAAAGTTGATGAAGCAGCGGCCGATAGGCTGGATGAAGCGGCAGCGGGTATATCCGTCGGTATTATGCCCAGCACAAAGTAGTCGTAGAGATCCTGGCCAGAAGACAAAGCAGGCGTGTCGTCATCAACATTGTCACTGTACCCAGCGAGCCAGGGTAAGTTGTCGTAGGTCGTGCCATTTTCGAAGACGAATGAGATGTTGGCTCCCGGATAGAATATTGTTGAGCCCTCGAATTCACTCAGAAGGTTGAGGACATCACCGGCAGGATTCGACATGAGCTGGTTCCAGTCCGCATTCGGCTCAATGGTGCCTCCGGCGTTGGTTGCCGCAAACTGTGTCAGATACTCTGTGGGATCCTGGCCGTTGATCCTGGAGACTGCGGAGGGGATCCAGGTCACATTGTTTTGCGCCGCTTCGATCAAGTCATCCGGGATATAGATTTTAGGGAGTTCTATACCATTCGAGGACACGGATACAATCCGAAGTGGGCTACCGAACGTGAAGATGCTGAGAATGCCGGCCGAGAGAGAGACATGCGCGTCGTGGATGGCGTAGATGACGGTCTGCAAGGCAAGCTCAAAGTCATATTCGGTCGTGAACGTACCCGCCTGCACTTGTCCCTCAAGCGCATCCAGGCTCGCCAAGACATCGATAGCTGGCTGCTGATAGCTCGGGGGTGGATCTTTCAGGTATACGAGTGTGCTTTGGAATTGAAGTAAGTCCTTGTAGTATGAAAGCAGTCCGCTGGCAACTGTCGCGTTGAAAGGCGCAGTGATTAAACAATTATAGGCATCGCTAGCAAGGAACAAGACATAGTCAGAATTGAAAATTTGATAACAGGGGGTGCCTGTGGAATTCGCTTGTCGCGGAAAGACTCTAGGATATGCGTCCACTGGTAATAGAAATGCAAGCAATGCCGCCGCCCGCAGAACCAAAAAGAGGGTGAACATGGTAGCAAAAGATGCGATGCAAACGCGCAAGCACAGCGAAAAGAAGGAATGATGAAGGAATGTTTGTTTGAAAAAAGATAAGTCGGCAAGAAACATTTTGATGAGAACAGGCTGAGATTTTAGCGTCTGAATAAGAATTTGGGTGCCGCAGTCAAATTTGATAAATAATGCTTTGTCAACTCCATCATCCCTGTCATTATTTGTTCTGATTATTCTTCTTACTCTTTTTTTATTTATTCTGCCTGCTAGAGAGAGTAGCCTGGCAATTCAGCCCCCAAAATGAAATGAAATTACAAGGAGCGTTAGGCGTGCTATACTTGTATGGCTTCGACGGCGTGGAAAAAAGACTTTAATTATCAGTAAGCTAATAAATGATTAGTATACTGTATAGCATCAAGAGTTTTCGTTTGATCACTCAGTACAATTAATTGAGGATGAAAATATATTATTACGAGTAGGTAGAAATGTTTTCCTCACTCTTTCCGAAACTTGAAGCCTTGCTGAGTCGATAAACATGTTAATTATAGCCCCAGCCTAAGGTACTCACTCTACTTGACTGTTGTACCTTAGCCAC